TAAATAAATAAAAATATTTTATTTAAACGAGTGCATTCCATAGGTAAATTATGTACAACCAAATTATATATGAATTTTCTACGAAAAAATTCGTAGGTAAAATGACATTATCTACAAATTTTTACTTATTTTTTTAAATTTGAGAGACTGAATAATTATTTATTCCAAATTTTAGGGATTGAAAACGCGATTAAACTAGAAAAATAATTTGACTTCTCAATAAGCTAAAATTAGCTTGTGAACAAATTAGAAAAATAAAAAAATATTGACAGCTTCTAGAAATTTACTCATTCATAAACTAAATTTTAACTTTATCGAAAGTTGAATTTTTCTTCTTGTTTTTATTTCCTAGAAGAAGCTTATGAAATAACTCACCTAACTAAATAGAGTTTAACGTTTTTTATTTCGATATATTCCTTGGTTCCAACAACTTCACAAAATTAAAAGAAACCGAAGTTCATATATTTTACCATAACATTTCATATAACTTATTATTCTAATAAGCGAATTTAATATAAGTATTCTCTTGTAATAAAATCATAATTATCTTTCATTTTTTCAATTATCGCATTCCTACTCTCATTAATTATATATTATTAGTTCATTTATCATCTCCAACGACCCCATAATAATACATGCAATGCATTTGTTCTCAAAACCTTCAATCTAGTATACACATAGTTGCTTCCCATTTTCCATAGTATCAAATATAAATAAAACATGCATGGTTCAATTCATTGCACAACGACTAAGAATCTTCATATTTATTCAACGTTCTAGCATGAATTTCTCCAATTTCGGGGGTTCAAAGAAAAAACAATCATTTTTTAATGAAGAATGGATTATAGCCATGATTTAAGTTTCTGTCTAAAGTCAAGGAACATAATTAACTTGTGTTATTGGAATTTCTAATTCAAACTCTATAGTTTCTTTTTAATTTTTTAAGCTAACGAGTCGTGATATTTTGTCTTTATTAACACTTGTCTTCATGATTTTTAACCGAATTAAATGAGATCTTATTTAAGGTGGACTTCGAATTCAAACTAAACAAACACATGAAAAATAATCTCTTTTTTTTTTATGTTGCAAATCCAAACGTAGGAGGAAAATTCACATGGTGCTGGTCATCACTAATCATGGAAACGAAGAACAAGTTCATTCTCACACTTAACCTAAGTTTATATACCTTCCACGATTGACGCCATTATATACCTATAAATTTATACATATATTTTTTTTAATTAAGTCATTCTTACAAAATATATTTAATTTAGAGTGGAGAAAACGTATTTTCTAATAGGATATCTAATCTAATATAAAATATAATGACAAATTTATAAATATTAAAAAATATATTATATCAATTATATAGTTATTTAAAAATTGTATTTTTTTTTCTACTTACTCGAGTGTATCGTGAAGAGAATTACTAAAAATATGAATAAAATTCTATTAAATTTAATTCTTTTATTATTATTTTGTGATATCATTTGTCGTTGTCATCATCGTTTTTTATTATTCCATCCTTTATCACATTTGACGTCCTTTATTTGTGTAAGATTGCTTCTTCTTTTTTTTCCATTGTACATCATTATTGTCATGTGCTCTTATTTGTTTCAATAATTATTGCTATTTTGAGGTATTTTTATAATATTTTCATTTTCATTTTCACTTTCACATTTACTTTCCACAGAGATATTTCAGTGCAAGACTCCTATTCAAAGAATTTAAAACCAGTGTTATCTTTTTTGGTAGCAGAGTCAGTGCAAAAGGATTTTGTTGCAATTACATATAATGCACTTACCAATGTTGAACGAACCTCACTAGGTCAACGATGAAGATTCGAGGTAAGGAGGCATGTAGCATTTGAGATAACGAAGAACGTCATGTAGAACAATAAAACCTTGTTCTACATCGAAGTTTTTTACGTCAATTCCCACACCAATCAATTTGATAAGTATTTCATTTTTTATATCAGTTATTAAATTAATGTAAAAGGTTTAAAATAATGATAAATAAATATTATTGCCACTAGTATTAAAAAAAATGAAAATTATATTTTAATATATATATTATTTCAAATATCAAAAAAATTTGATGAGTGTTTGATTAAATTAGTCAACATGTAATAATCAGACATTTCTTAGAAATGAATTTTTTTATATTTTGTAAATTTCAAAATTTTGATGTTTTACTTTTTATTTTTATTGTTTTAGAATTTTACCATGTAATAATTATACACTTCTTTTTAGTTAGACCATTTTATCTAATTGAATAATTAATATATTTTTAGTGTAATTTTATGTAATTTTTTAGTTTTACTTTGACGAGGTACTCTATAATAAAATCAGTGGTGTATCTTCTTGGGAGTCGAATCGTGACCTTTCCAAAGTTTTGTAACTCCCATGTAATTTATGATTTTAACCCCCAAACTTAATGAATATATATTTACTTGTATATTTACAATTTTATTCTCTCATCTCCTCCTTAGTTTTGTAACTCTCATATAGTTTATAATTTTGTTTCTCTCAAACTTAATAATTATTTAATATATTTAAGTATATATTTACAATTTTATCCTTTCACCATTTTATCTTCTTACTTACTTTTATATTTATTTATTATTTATTAATAATATATTATTTGACCCTCCAAGATCAATGGTCAAGATTCGTCATCTGAATAAAACATTAGTCTAAAATTATAGAAATTTGTTTTACATAAATATAAATAAAATATTTGAAAATAGTATAATAATGCAAATCAAATATTTGTATGTGTGAAAAAATTAAATCCCAAATTTTTTTAAATGGAGAGTGCCTTTATTCTTCGTACTCTTTAATTGCATGCATAATTGACTTGAGGCTTTGGCGGGCATGGCCTTAATTTGAGGGTCATAATTTGAGTTTGGGAATTAGGGCACTGAAATTAGTGCGCATTTTGAACAATTTTAGTATAAAACGCCCGATAATATTTTGGCCAGGACGCATTCCACTAAAATCAACCCACCATTAAGTTAGTGTTTATTCTTTTATAATTTTTATCTATTATAAAATTAATGAAAATATTCGTCTATCTTTGTAATCTTGAAAAAAAAAATTTACGTATTTTTTTGTTTAAAATTCAATTATATGTTGTCATATTATTGTTTTTGGGTTAAAGTACAAATAATTGTCTCAGTTTGTCTCTTTTACTCTTATTTATATTCCAATAATATTATTTATTTCTTCATTATATTAAATTTATTTAAAAGTTTTACATGCACTTTTTTTATTATTATTGAAGATGACAATAAACTTCTTACCACGAAAAAGTTTCAGTTTACGGATAAAGACGATAAAAATGTAAATATTTGTTATTTATATTTTCTCTTATAGTTTATTTTTAATCAAGATTTTTGTTGTCGTTCACTTTTATATCTTATGTTATAATAACATCTGATAAAAGTATTATGATTTATCATCCCAACAAAATATAATAAGATTTTTTTCTCGTTCTTATTCGTCTATTCTAAATTTTGAATAATTTGTAAGTTTGGTTAAATTTTCAATTAAAACACGTTCATTCCTTTTTATATTTTAATTAATTAAATTATTTATTGGTAATACACTTAATGAATATGTTAGGTCCAATTGGAAAATAATATAAATAGACATATATAAAACAAAAATTTCAATTAAAAGTTTTTTTTTATTTGGAAACTAAATTCACAAAAGACAAATCAAAATCAAAAATTAGAATTAAAGAAAAATAAATTACAATATAGCAACAAAATTTACATGATATTAACAAAAAACAAAAATAGCCATAAAAAAAAGCAGGTTCCTAAAAGGAAAAATAAATATATGCATAAAATTTTTATACGTTAAAAAGAGGAAACAGAGAACATCGAATACATATTATAGAAGTGGAATATGCTTGGGCGGTTAGGGAACAATGCAATAATATCCCTTCACACAATCATAAAACTTCAATTATATACGATTCTATCTCTTTTCTATCATATATTTTATTCAAATAAACTCTTTAGAAAATAAAAATAATATAATAATAGCGTCAATAGTTGTCTCTTTCTCCCCCAAACATCGTGACTCCAACTCAATCCTATACCTTATCCTTTCCAAAAAACATCACATGGTTTATTTATTTATGTCCAGAATGTAATGTGTTATGCCTCATTAGCACATGATCTTCACCAATCTCTCTCTCTCACTTTTCCATGTGTGATCGAACATAGTAATAACCTTATTTATGAACAAAATGAATGTATAGAATTGAGAATAGAGTATTTTGTTCTAATTGGGTAAAAAGTTTATATGTATATTAATTATTAGGAACCCCATGTTACGTGACTCTCTTGGTGCAACCCCTTTTTTTCTTTAATGTTGTGAAAGATGGATTGGTCATCGAGGGAAAGATATAGAACACATGACAGCGCCGTTTTTCTTTGTTGATTGTATTATTTTATCATTATTTCCAAGAATTTTAGAACATATCAACTAAGTTTCAAGAGGAAATGGGCTCATGAAAAAGCCCAAATGGTAAAGCCCCTGCCTTTTTAGAAAGAAGAAGCCCAAATGTTAAAGGGCATGGATTAATGGGTTTTTTGTTGTAACCCAATAAAAAAAGAATGTTCTTTTATACTGGGTTTATTAAAAAAAAAAAAGTAAATCAGATTTTTCTAAATAATTTTTAACCGATTTTTTTATAAAAATATTTTCACGAGTGTTTATACTTAATTTCAACAAAATTTACATAACCCTTTGTGCAAAGGGTTCTTGTTCAACGGCCACACAAGTTTTAAAAGAAAAGGGCAAAAATAAAAATTCGCAAAATCGGTGTGTTCTGCCTCTCGCTGGTTCTAGAAACACCCGTACCATAAGTCGGCGTTGCAAACACCACCAAATCACGGGAGCTTACATATTTCTTCTGCGGCTTAGAATCTCGTTCTCAGGTTCCTGCTGATCCAAACAGGTCCTTCACAGTGAAGCTTCCAGAAGATGGTGGTCATAGAGCAGGAAGAGAGTGAACGCCGAAATGCGAGCCCCTCTAACGCCGCTGGTGCTGCCAACGACGCTTCCGACGGATTCGAAACCGCCAGCGAGGCCGATCTCGGCAGTGATGATGATGATGGCGGAGTGGACAGCCAAGAGGAGCATAATCGCCCGGATAAACACCACCACCAGCAGCAGACGGGGCAACAACCTGAACACGATGTTCCTCTTAGCACAACTGAATCCTCCGAGAATGCCTTGGTTACCGAAGAGTCCTCCGAGAATGCTTTGGTCACCGAGGAGTCCCCCGAGAATGCCTTGGTCACCGAGGAATCCTCCGAGAATCCCTTGATCAACGAAGAAGAATCGAGACAGGTGGTTATATCCTGAACTTAAGGGTTTTGTTTCTAGGATCCTTCTGACTGCCGAACTGTTCACTTCTTTCGCAGTTACTTTTTTTTGGATCGATACACTTACGCAGGAATTATCAATTTTTGTATTAATTACTTAAAATGTAATATGTATACTGGTTTCTTATTAATTTACGGATGAAGATTATATTATGGTTAATGCTATAAATATGCTAATGTTTTGTATATTTGAAATTATTGAGAATCACAAAACATAATTGTTCAGGCATTGCACCTTGTTTAATGAGTCTCATCTCATGATTTTACTGTTTTTGAATAAATTTTAATTAATAGCAGATGTCTGACATGAGGTTGATACATAATTTTTAACAAGCATTTATCTTCCATTATACTTGGCTCATCTGGTGGTCAATTATGTATCTAATTACTCGTGGTAAATTATGTGACTAATTACACATTCGCTTGTTCTATGACGAAAATATTGGAGAGCCATGGTTATGTGCGGAGAAAAGTTTCTTTGATTCTCGAAGAAAATAAAATCTAGGAAACTATGAAATTCGTGTACAACTGTATATTAACCCTTGTGTATCTAAGAGAGTATTGAGTGCTATTGGTTTATATGACAGAAAGCGTTGGATCAAGCAAATGAAGCAAAGTTAGAAGGGAACAAGCTTTTTGTAGATGGGAAGTATGAGGAGGCGTTATCGCAGTATGAAGTTGCTTTACAAGTAGCACCAGACACACCTTCATCTGTGGAAATACGGTCAATATGCCATTCGAACCGTGGTGTGTGCTTTCTGAAACTGGTATGGCCTTTTTTAATCCTGTTAATGCATTTATCATCGCATTATCGTGTTATGCCTTCCACACATGTCTGCCATATGAACTATGATCTCAAAATGTTTTCCATTATGGGTTATGCATAGTGGTCTAGGTTTGATCCTTGACCTTTCAATGTTTGCATTCACTTCAGAGTTCAACATTATAGGTTGAAACTCAAAGTTGGTTTATTTTCTATTTCATACTGTTCTTGAAGGAACAAAATAAAAAATTAAGTAGTTTCTGTTTTGTTATAAAATATTATTTGTTCAATATAAAGCATAGTAATTTTAAATTAAATAAATGATGGAGGAAAGAGGGAGAAAACACAATCTTAAAAAAACTAAAGCATCCTGCAAAGCTACCTGCATATCAGAAATTGATACTCCCTAGAAACAACCATGAGCAGCCGCAGAACTGTACAGGAAAGCTGAAACTTAATAGTTAGTACTCATAACAAGTTTAAGGAAACGAGACACCCTTGCAAAATGTGAGCACTATTACGACCCAACCATGAGTAATTCCTCATGTTTTAGAAGCATTTAAATATTTGTTGATGAACATCAAGTATCGACCTTTCATGTAGAGTTAAAATTTGGGGATAGGTATTAATTTGCCAAAATTAGCTTGGCTATATACGTGTTAGTCCCTAATTTAATAAATATGAGCAAAAAACTTGGTCCCAATCTGCTTCAATCAAAAGGGATTCAGTTAAAAAAACAGCAAAACGATAATAACTGAAGCTAGATACTTTATTCTTGTATTTATTTTTACCTTCATTACAATTTTTAATGATATATATGCTGACATTTGATAATTTTTTTACGATATAAAAGCTACAATGGGATTAGCATTTCATTTATCCTGACATAATTTTTGTTCACCTCTCGTATTTTTGCTTGGTTTTTTTAAACAATTGTCAAATGTACAACAGGGAAAATATGATAACACAATTAAGGAATGCACGAAAGCATTAGAACTGAATCCTGTGTACGTTAAGGCTTTTGTAAGAAGAGGAGAAGCTCATGAAAAGCTCGAGCATTTTGAAGAGGCCATTGCTGGTGAGTTCAAATCTTACATTAGGGTAGAGGGTAATTATACCAACCTCCTCTGAGGTTTGCACTTATCACATCTGGCACCGCATTTTCCTTACTTTATGTCCCTACCTAGTAGGGTTCCTACTCTATTGCTCTTTGTGATGAGGAAAGTTGATTTCTAAAATGAGAAATGTGTACAGACCTGAGGGAGGTTGTTGTAATTATCCCTTAAGTTTGGCTCTTGATGTATAAGTGCATGCTGTGCATTTAGCACACTAATAGCATTCTGATTCTGACAAACTCTTATCTTTATTTATAACCAGCTCTTTACACCTTACCGTCTTTTTCAAAAATAATTGTCAGATATGAAAAAGATCTTAGAAATTGATCCCTCAAATGATCAAGCTAGGAAAACAATTAGGCGCCTAGAGCCCCTTGCTGCAGAAAAACGGGAAAAGATGAAGGAAGAAATGATTGGTGAGTCCTTTTTATCTCTCTTCATTCTTGAATATCTATAATTTTGATTTTCTTTAAGCTGGTTGCATAGGCTTGCTTCGTTGCATTACCTGTATATTTTGTGCCTATTAACATACACTTGCCACAAACTTCATGGCTTGATTCACAAGACATTTCTTCTATCTCAGTTGCTGTTTTTTTATTGAGGACTATGAATTTCTTTTGTTTTAATACATATAGTTACGTGTCCATATTTAGCATTAACTTCTTGTTCTCAAATGGTTTACAAGGTGAAGCAATATTCAAATAAATCTAGTTTAGTCAAACAACACCTTATCTGAAATAAATTCTTTTATCATATATAACATCTTATCAAGATATCAGGCTTTAAAATACTCATGTAATTTGAAAGATCTATTTATTGATTGCTTGATTTTGAGTGATAGTGCAACTCTGTAGATGAAATGTGCATCTCAGCTTGCTGAATAGCAGCATTTCTTCTCATAGACGTGTATTGCCTTCCTAGAGAACACATAATGGTATTCTGTTTGTATTCTATGTAATGGACATAGACGGGTATTACCTTCCTGGAGAACACATAATGACTTCTTTTTTCTTTTTTGCCCATGTTGGTCAACTGTGAAGATTTACTATTCTGTTTTATAAAAGCAAAGTGCTATCATAAATTTTGAATAGTTCATGGGGAATGTGCAGAAGTACTTTATTTTGTGACTAGTGATATTGGGTATATTTTCCTAACATCATTTGCTGATAGAGAAGTATCTTTCTTGATGCAGCAAAACTGAAAGATATGGGCAATTCTGTCCTGGGTCGCTTTGGGATGAGTGTAGACAACTTTAAAGCAGTCAAGGATCCAAACACTGGTTCCTATTCTATCTCATTCCAACGCTAATTTGTGCAGAGAAGTCATAGCAGCAGTAAGCATGAAAGAGCCAGTCTAATGTGATACAGGTTTGAGACTTCATGTGAATGCAGCTTATTAGGAAAATTTGAATGTTAGTTATGTATGAGAACTTGAGAAGTAGGGTATGTAAGAAGTGCATTTTGAAATTGATTCATCATTGTGAGGAGGATTGATAATGTCCAAGTCCATAACTACCTCTACTAACATTTAAACTGCATTAAGGCTTTAGAACTAATGACAATTGATCTGATCTTTTGAAAAAATACATAGGTTAACTGTTTGCGCAATTTCATTGGCTTTGGAGAACTACAGAAACACATTTCACACTCTTTTTAGACACTATTACTGAATGAAATTCTAGCTAGCTAACGTAGTAAAGTGCGGGCCAAGGCTATCTAGTGGAACCAACATGAGATTTCACTTAATAATGCATTTAAGTGTTGAAAAGAGTGTCTCAGAATATGCTATTAGCATATACCCCTGGTTTGCAATGGACTCTAATATTGCTGTTTATTTATCCTTGATGCTAAAAAGGGGTGCTCTTGTTTGAGGTGTTGGATGTTGTAAAATTGAAGAAGTGCCTTCACTCGTGTTTGGTAGAATTGCAACATGAATGCGACATGTGAAATATGAATTGCTACTCATTATCGCACCACCCTTCACATTTCTGTCAGTTTTATAGCACAAAAACAAAGTTGCCCCGTTTGCCAAACATTAGCTGTGACAGAGACAAATTTTTAATCCTCATTAAAATCAAAACTTAATGTCATTTTATTTTCACTACCTTCAGTTTTTTATCTCCTCAAACAAGTAAACTAAATATTATTTGCATTAGTAATCTATGTCAATGACCAAACTAGTCAGATACTTCATATCTATAGTTTTCAAGATAATGGGTGTAATTCATTGTCATATATGGTTTGCTTTCTAGGTAATGCTGTTGGAATCTGAGTTAACGAAGTATGAACGGAGTTGCGCATTGTTCCAGGTGTATTAATCGTGTGGAAGGTCACTCACGCAAGTTGATTGGGACTTGTCAACTTATTTGAGTTGTACAATTTTATTTATATTTTTTATCATTGGGTCATTCTGCACAAATTTAACTACTGATTCACGTTTAGCAATTTTAATGTAGGTCCGTCATCCATCCAGATATTGGTTGGTACTTAGATGTTTATAAGTTTGGGGACTATACGTGATAAACACTATAGAGCATTAATAATATATTTGTTTATTTCTGTTTATGAATCGCCGTCATTTGTGAAACTAGTTAGCAAACTGATGTAGTACAAAAACTAGTGCTTTATACTGGTTATTCACTAAAGTCGAGTAGCAGAGTTGTGACCTCTGAAGATGCTGTACGTCCTTTAATTAAAGAATCTGCTTGTCTGGTTTGTTCTGTGGCGGTTGATGGTGTGTATAAGAGGTACATTTTAGTTCGGGGCTTTTAGATCATATAATCAATGGATTGCACTCTTTTAGGCTGAGAGCAACTTGCATATTTGTTGGATACATATGGATTTCTGTCAACTTACATTTAGTTAGTTTGTAGGAGAGTAAATTAGCAAACCCCAATTATACATTTGTCAAAATACATATAAGATTTACCTTGTTAATTCACTTTTTTCTAGAAAAATAAGTGAAAGTAACTTAACAAATCTCTCTCTCTCTCTGTCACACACACACATATACACATGCATCTTAATCATCATATGCTCAAATTTGAAGTTCACTTTTTATTCATCAATTCATGCAATAATAACCAAAGTAAAAGGAAGACTTTTTGCTTTGGAAGTGAGGTACAATTATTAATCCGAAAAATGCAAACAATTATACCATAATCAAGATCAACACAATTGGCCAAAAAACTAGTTCCGCAATTCCTTAGCTCTCAGAAAAATACATCTTGTCATTCCCAATCTATACATTGTCTACAAATGGAGAGACAAATCAAGCTTTTGATCTTTCTCTGTCCCATTATTCCAAATTCCAAGGTGTTGATCGTTACTTATCAATGACTTGTGTTGAGATGTGTCCCCCCAGCTGACGCTAGTGCTCTTCCCATCTTCATGTAACCGGTTACTTACCCCATAGAGCAGTGCATTGCCAAATCTTGGTGCACCATTTGATCCAAATTGTTCCGAAATTTGATGGCTTTGCATATAAGGGAGTTCTGCTGCATGGGCAGTGATGAACATTGAAGGATTTAAAATATCTAAGTGAGTTGGAGCAAAAAGCATAGGGGCTGGCAGTGGGGAAGGGAAGGAAACACTCGAGTACTCCGAAGCCCTCTTGACCTTCCTTGCAGCTGTTCTTTCTTTCTTGTGAGCATTTTGGTGTCCTCCCAAAGCTTGAGAACTGTAAAATTTTCTTGAACAAAATAGACATGGAAAAACTCTTGATGCATCTTCTCTTTGGCTTTCTCCAAAATTGGCTCCCTTCATCACCTCATCCATCTCTATAACTGAAACCTAGATAGCAACTGAGAGGGGAAATATACTACACGTCAGAAATTGTATACATTTTATATTCAAAACTAGGTATATTTGAAATTATGCAAGGAAAAACACTTCAGCAGATGAATAATAAGAACAAATGGTACAACAGTGTAATAGAGGAAGCGTCGGAAGAGGGGTATTTAAAAAGCAGGGAACAACTGATATGAGTTAATCCTAACTGATCAAAGAGTTGAAAGGAGTTGGGAAGTGGCCTCGGGACGAATTGGGAAGCGTGAAGGGTGAAGGGTGTCTGACTGGAATCATAAATATAGCGCTAGAGACAGTGGTGAGGTGTTTGGGCTTGGGAAAGGAAGAGATAAGATGAGAGAGAGAATCCGTTTTCCAAACCTAACATCTCCTCTCACTCACACCAATCACTCTCTTCGTCATAAACATGCACAACCCTTTTGGAGGGCAGTTCCCCACTTGTCTGACGACGTGGTGATTTATGAGCACTTTGTGTTACTGTGTTTTCGGTTTTACTCTCCCTCCATATTTCCTTTTTCTCGGATTTACGGCTTTAGACATGTCACTAATCTTTATCGGGACTTGTCCCGTTACATTCAGATTACACCTATGTTAATTTTTAGTCTATATTTTAAAGTATTACACGAAGAAAGTATTTGATATTTTTAAATAGTTATTTCAAGATATAAACAGCTTAACATAATAGGAAAATTACAATCATCACTCTTGGGATCTTTGCAAATCTCATTCATTTCCTCATCTCTGTTGAATCAATTGCTTCAAGCTCTCCTTGTGCAGTTTAATTAAGTGTCTGACATTTGGGTTAGATAGATACACTGAGGGATACAGATTTTAAAGGGTTGTTCTTTAATTTTATGCCAGGAGATGATCATTTTATGTTATGTAAAAGTATTTTAAAGGTCAGTACAACTTTCCCTAAGATATCCATCCATATTATGCTTAGAATACCATACCAGGAGATTGAAAGAAGAAGATGGTTTGTTTTTGTCCTCTAGATTGGTAAATAATGAAGGTCTTAAAAATTAGAGGAATTTAAGGAGGGTAAATGTGATTGAGTAGGAGCAGTAAAATGAGGGGAGATTGATGAACTCCATTCTAATGGTCAACATGCCTGGAGGGATGAATAAGTCCAATCTCATGTCTGGGACTGCGTGTACACTTTCTGCATTATGCTGCCCTCTTCTGCTCTGCACTTCTCTGCTTTAGTTTTCTAATTCCATTGATGTGAACATAACAAGTTATGGGGTGGGCTTGTTATTCTATCTCCACCGCCAACTCCATGCATGCATCCTCTGACCCTTCTCGTCGTTTCCTATCAAGCACACTGCTACTTGTGTTGTGTACGTATGTAAGTATTCCACGTCATTCCTCATCTTCATACTGCCATTTATGTATCTCCCATTTTAAACTGTGTAAAAACCCGTCCTCTGAACTACAATTATATTACTGTAAATGAGAACAATCTGGTGGAGTTAATTATGAGAGAAACCGATCACAAGACAAAAAAAATGATAATGAATAATTTAGTCACATACAGATGACAATTACATGACTGTAAGTGAGAATAGTACGGTAAATTGGATTCCGAGTGAATAAATGTAATACTATAATCTTATAATACTAAAAATTAACATTAAGATATTATTTTATATTTGAAAAAGTACGTTTTTTTTTTCATAAAATTTGAGCTCTTACTTAGGATATATTCAAAGGAAACTAATTTTATTTGAAATAGTGAAACTAACCACAATTTTCTTAACTTATTAAGCTTAATTCAATATATTTGATAATATCTTTTTTTTTAATGTATTGGTGTATATTTAAAGAAATTAGAGGTATCAAATAAAAGAAGTACTGTATAATAGGAGTTCAAATTTAATATAATAAATTTTGAAGTTTGTAATGCTTATACGGTCTCTTTAAAAAAACAACTTTGTGGTTAGATATTAGAGAGTATTATAGTTACTCTATTTTTAATATAACTTTTGCTGTTACGAATGTATTAAAAAAGTGCATAAGAAATGCTATTGAATTTATATATTTCAACTTTATATATTAAAAACATGATTATTGAAGTTAAATCATTTAATGATTGCATTTATTTAAAATGTGTGTATTGGTTTTAATGTTGATTACCAAAAAAAAAAATAAAAAATCTAACAGTCTATATTTATAGATTCTTTTTTTCACAATAATGCATATGTTCATTATACTCCTTCTTGCACACATCTATAATAAATAATTACTATATTAAAAAATAAATATTGATTTCTTATTTTATGTTATCGAAATTATTGATTTTAAATGATAGGTATTCTAATAATAAAGAGTTAATGACCATATGTAATTAATTTCATTTTCGATTGTATATTAGCTATATGCACTTTCAACTCATTTTATTATATCAAGAGAGTTTAATAATTCACATATCCCTATCTCTTATTAATTCTTTGAAAAAACTAATATTTTTTTTATAAATTTTCAAATTTTAATTTATAATATTAAGTTTATAGTCAAAATATAATTTTATTATATAAATTTCTTGTAGAAGTTATTTAATAAATATTCTTAATACACGATAAATATGCTATTTTCTTTATAGAGGAAAATATAAATTGAAAACTGTAAATAGAAAAAACAACCATTACTCAATATAATATTTATATTATATTATTACATTAAATTAAGTTTGTGATAAAGTGGATTGTGACCTTTTTTTTTTATAAATAAAAATACTTACAAAAATCATTTGGCAAGGGGAATATATTTTAACCTAAAGAGAAGGTTTGGCCCATTACAAAGGAAACTTAACCTGAGTTAAGACCCAACCCAACTAATACTACGTTTGGTATAATAGACTGCTATAAGTTAAATGTTTAATTTTATATAATTAAAATTTATAATAAATAATTGATTTTGAATATATAGCTTATATTTTAATTATAATTTATAAAGACTAAATATAATTAAATAATTTATTTTCATCAGATAAACCATGACTAAACCTTAATTTTCATTTGATATAATGCAGTTGGTGTTTAACACCCTTCGCAATTTTATTGCACTAAAAATGTACTTTTTACAATTTTAGTTTGAAAAAGCGTACATATAATATAAATTGGTGCAATTATTATTTTAATTTAGTAATATATTTCTTATTAAAATTAAATATACGGTATTATTAAGGTATAACTTTAAATATGATTGGAAAATAATTATAATATTATTTAATTTTAAAATTTTTTTCTTTTATTGATGAGTTTTTATCTATTGATTTGTTATATCTTACTAATTTAAAAATCACAAAAGCATTGAACTAGAATATTTTTTAAATATTAAAATATATAACTTTTAAAAAAGAATTTATAGATAAATCATACAGTTGAATTGAATTTATTTATTATTTAAAAAAATGATGTTTACATATATATATTTTATTTATTTTGAGAAGTATTATATAATATAATTTTGATTAGAACTATTTTGATTTAGAAGATTTATAATTTAAGAATTATATTTATTTTATTTTATTTAAATCAAAAGGTGAAAAAGAAAAAAATGAATAGTGATAAAGAAATTAAATTCTATCACGAGTTTTGATTATATATGATTGAAGACTAAATTGATGAATATTTTAATATTAATGTTAATATATATTTAATGAAGAATCAATATGTTAATAAATAGATTATCGTGTGGGAGATATTCATAATACCAGTATTATGTTTGATGTTTTTGTGATATATCGAGGTTATTTGATTTTTCGTATCTCGTGTTTTTTTGAGAAAAAACTTGTATTGTATAATGTATTGAAAATACTGTAATTTTTATTATGCATTTTTACTAAATGATATTTTTTATAACGTCTGTTCCTCGAATTAAACAATTACATATTACATTCCATTTTTAATGATATTGTGGACAATATTTATCTTCTTTATAAATTTGATTTAGGTTTATTAGGTCTACAATAATATTAATGGAAACACCAAATTGTCTCAATATATAATTATGTTAATGAAACTTAAAACCTGATAGAGGGATAATAATATGACTTATAAGAAAAATTTTAGCATTTATGAAGTATTTTAGTAAATTTCAATGATAATAAGTGAAAAATAATAAAAAAAGTTAAATTATTTTTACTATTAATTTTTTTTTATATATAAAACGTATAAGACAAATAATTTGTTTTTATCAAAATTTAGAATAATATATTAAGAGTTTAAAAGTGTGACTATAGAAACAAATGATAAAATTTAGCTAAGATGATTTTCACGTACACATTAACCATAGTTAAAAGTTAGATAATAAGATCAAGATAAAAATAAAAAAGAAAAATTCTAAATGTTTTTGTACTGATTCACCTTAAAATAAGATTGTATATAGATCTTAATTATAGGTCAAGTTTCACTAATAAACCATAACCACAATTCTTTAAGCTTTGCACACAGAAATATATTTCTTCTTAATTAAGAGATGTAATTCCTATGCATAGAAACTAATAAGTGGCTTATTCCAAGATAATTGAAATTATTTATTGACTCTTGGAAATAATACATTCATTTTTTAAAAGGGAAAGAAAATTTAATATTCACTGTTACTCTTAATAATGAAAAACTTCAATCCTTCACTATAAATAGGGGTCTTCATAAATTAAGAGACGTATAAGAGAAGTTGAGTAATTCTATTAGGAAGTTAAAAATAATTCGATAGAGAAAAGAGTTTCTATCATTTTTTTTTATAAGATTGTTGTAAGTTTGACTAAGGATAAATTAATATACTATCCTTTTAAAAAGAGAGATCATTTTGTAATATTAATTTTATAGTGGAGTTCTTGTTCTAACTTAGTTTCATTGTTTTTTCTTCTCACATTAAGTAGGTTTTTCACATTAAAATATTATGTGTTATTCTAATAAATTTATTTTACCTGCTTCTATGTATCTTTTTGGGAGAAGAGGGGTCATACCTTAAGTTTTATACCTTACATTAATATTTATGATTTTGACCCCAAACTTAATAATTATTTTTAAATTTTTATGACTGACTTTTTTAACCGTCCCTCAATACTCACTGATGTTAGAAATTAAATCTCTATTTTAGTCCCAGTTAGATTTTGGATTTCTGATTTTTCCACCCGACCAGTCCATGTTCTATATAATTTCTAAAAAAATAATTATATTTATAATAAATTAATTTTAATATTTTATGTATTTATACATAAATAAATATTTATAATTTTTAATTATTATTATTAATTAAGTAGATATTTTAATTTATTATATTTATATTAAAATATATATGTAATAGAAATATTAAATTATTTTTTTATAGTACAAATATACAATACTTATAATAATAATATTATTATTATTATTATTATTAATATTATCATTATTATATATTATAATATTATATTTAAATATTTGATTATATGTTAATTATTTTTCAAGTTGTCATTTTAAAATGTTAATAAATATGAAATATATAATTTATAAAAAAATATGTAATCAGTTAATTCTTATTTTATTAGTTGACAATAATAAAAATTTTAATTATCAATTATTTTTAATCTTTCAAAATAAAAATATTTTATTAAGATAAAATTTGATATATAATAAATAATAATAATAAAATTAAAAAGTATGACAAAATAAAATCTAATAAAGATAAACTAGAAATAAAATAATATTAATTACTAATAATATTGATGTAGAATATTTAGAAAAAGATAAAGAAGAAGAAAAATAACTTTGTGTTTGTAAAATTAATTAAAGAGATTGGAAAATCAAACTTAGTAAAGAGATTAAGTAAATTTGAAAAAGCGAAAAAAGTAATAGAAATAGAATAATATAATAATAAACTTATTAATTTAAGAAATTGGAAAAGAGAAAAAAGTGAAAAGTGGATAAAAGAAAAGTAAAAAAGATGAAATATAGAAAAATGACCTTGTATATAATGTGAGAAAGAAAACAAAATATTTTTAAAAAATTAATATTTTAATATTTAAATTTAAATATAAAATCAAGGTAGATATGATGGTGAGGTGAAGATTGCATTACTTATCCCCGTTCCCATCCTTGACTTTTTTAAGCCTAAACTCGTTCCTGCACTTGATAAACTTGATTTGTTATTGATCAACTCAATTTTTTCTATTAAACTCGGGACGGAAATAAATCAATCCTTACGAATATGAATTTAATTGTCATCCCAAATTTTTCTCTAATCTTATATATAATGTTTCAAAAGACATATACGAAGAAGATAAACATAAACTATTATCTTTGTTTATTTAAAAAATTTTATTATTTATTTCTTCTCTTTTATATACGATTTCAAGAAGATGACCATCAATATCATTTTTAAGTAGTTGTTATATTATTTTTTATTCTTAAAGCATCACTTCATTATCGTAGGAGATAATTGAAGTTCTTGATAACAAACTTTTTAGAGTTTTTGTACCTCAATTTTTTTTTTGTTTTTTGTCAAAACTTTTCTTTTACATTTTGGCTTAAGAAATGGTCTCAAAGCTATAAGACACTGAACAAAAATTTCTATTTTGACCATTTTCTTAAAACTATTGTGCACAAAAGAATGAACATATCAAAAACAATTTTTTTATATAAATGCTAAATCATATGGAAAGATAAAGATAAATATATCAAATAATTTTTTTATATAAAGATAAAAAAGTGGAAAGAAAAAAATAAATAGACCAAACATATGTTATAAACATAATAAATGATCAACAATGCAATTATTTTATATAAGCACTTACTTGTTGAATAATCAAATGATGTAACAAATTTCTAAGTTTCATTATGCTTATTTGCACTTATCAAAATTTGTAATGTTGGATTTTGTAAGGGGGAAATTATTGGGGAGAGATAACACTAATGGGACATGAACCCAACCAACATAAGAGATTGACTCCACTGAAACCAAAACCTTAAGACATTGAGTTATGGGTGATACTTCCTTATATGTTATTCAAATTTTTTATTCTTATTCAATATGAGACTTGGATTACCCAACAATCTCTCTTAAGTATTGAGTCCCTTCACATTAATACATCCTTATTGAGTTCACTAGTGACCCTTTCATGTATCATCATTCATCTAGTGATCCTTCCATGTGATGTCATTCATCAAAATGAGACACACTTACCTATGTTAGAAATATTTTCGATATAATAATCACTCTCAATCTGTTAGTCACTACACAAACAATCGACTTTGATACAATTGTTGAACATTTCGAGAAGAGATTTATTGAGAATAGACAACACTAATAAAACATGAGTCAAAATCCACATATGAGATTATTAACACTACTCTCAACCTAAAATATTTAAAACATTGAGTTATGGATTATATTTCTTTATATATTGGTCAACTTTCTCATTCTTATTTAATTTGAGACTTAGACTCACACTTAGATTATCCAAGAGTCTATAAAAACTATAACAAAATTGATATTTGAAACAAAATTTTACGAATAATTTTGCTTTTAATATATATAAAATATAAAATCTACTAAAATTTGTTATAACATTTTCATGTTTGAACTTGGTTGAGACTACTCATTATATATAATAATTTAGTCATGAAATAATAATAAATTTATGTAAAAAAAAATATTTTTAATTCCTTTTAGTTAGTGGAAGACCTACTTATATAGGAACCTCCTGGTTAGATTTTACTTATATAACTTGGTTCTATTCTATAACATGATTGAAGAAATAACATGCCTTAGATGTTATTTTGGTTACAATAACTTCATTATTATCTATCAATAAAGACACGTCAATATTATTTTGCCTTATAGTTTATTATAATAGTTTGGTCTCGTAATAAAAAAAAAACATGGACTTTATACATTTGTTATTTATGTTTAACTATAATATTTTTCATTTGAAGTTGTTGAAAAACAATATTCAACTAATAAATTTTACTAACTTTCTTTTAGTTATATATATGAGTGAATACATATCTAATAAGTTTTCCTAAAAAGCTACCCAATGACCATTGTTGACAATAATAAACTTACCATTAATTGAAGTTGTATATCTATATTTTCTAACGTTATAGTAGTTTCTTTTACGTGAAAGTGAATTATGAATATATGTTACCATTATACTCATGCTATTAAATGATGATAAATTGATTATTAATCTTTACGTAAGTTTTAAAAACTTAGTTTTTTTTTCTCTCTGTCACCTATCAATTTAAAAAAAAATTATTTACACTTCTTAAATAATAAATATATTAATAAAAATAATTTAAAATTAAAGTGTATGCTTACATTCACTATTTCTGACCTAAATAGAAAAATAAAATCAATATCATAATAAAAAATATGAATGAAGAAAAATACAGTGAATTGGAAAAGAATGGGAATGTATTTGAAAAGTAGAAATGAAAATAAAAGAAATTAATTTTATAAAATATGAATACGTTGGCTTTGTTTTAGCATGTGTTCGACCAGTTATTATATAATACAAATTCTCAACATATATAAAATATATAAAATGCAGAAATAAATTCTGGTTGAAAATACTATTTGTTGCAATAAAATAGGGATGAGAAAGAAAAAACTTTTCCAACCACACAAACTCATGGTGAGGTCTAAGCAATATCTTATTTTATTGAATTATTAAATATTAATATTTCCAATAATACTTTATATGAAAATTGTTAATTATTAAAAAATAAATTATGAAAGTGACTAAGGAAAGGAGGCAGAAGCATAAGATGACACGAGAAAAAACAAGTGTCTCATGATTCCATTGGAGGGAAGCACGTCGTTGTACCTATTTTTAATTTTTGAGATGCCACGTCATCATTTCGCTTTGTATTTAACGGAGGACCCAAATTAAAATAACCTACACATTCTTTTTTAATATATTTTATTTTAATACTAATAAATAAATCTATAATATATAATGAGATTTTTTTAATAATATTTTTTATCACCAAATAAAAATATCATAAGTTTAAAAAAATAATTGTTATAATTTATATATTATATATTTAAAAAATATTTATATTCAACTGGTAACATGTATTTAATGGTTTTTTATGAACTAACTCATATAATTTGTATATGTATAATGTTTAATTTATAAAAATATATAATTATAATTTTTTAGATTTATTTCATTAAAATAAATTATATACAGATTGTTTAACTATAGAAATGATATTTTTTATGTATAAAATAATTTATATGAGTTAATACTTTAACAAATATAATTTATATAAAAATTTAATTTATATGTACAATCTTTTCATTCTGCTTTAAAAATCAAGCAACATTGATCTTAGTGGTAATGTTTAATACATGTTAACATTATATAATATATATTTAACAATAGGATAGTATATTAATGATGAATCAAAATTGGTATGCTTTTAAAAATTGAAAAAGTATATATTTATAAAAATTAAATTTCATATAATAAAGTATTATAAAAATATATTTATGCATAAATAATATAATAAATTTGGAGTTTAATTTTTATTTATTACCACAGTTTCACCAATTCTACGTAATTTACTATAAATTATGATAGAAATAAATTTTAAAATAATTATTAAAAAATTAATAAAATTATTATACGTAATTTTTTTGATTGACCAATAATTTAAATCCCTTTTACATTGTTATTATACGTAATAATACTCACAATTTTTTATATAAAAGTCTGAAAAAAAAAAGTCACACTAGCGACGTATGATATACAGCAAAATAATAAAACCGAAAAGAAAAATTCAGAAAAAGTGGAGGGTAGCATGAAAGAGTATTTTTTGCGTTTAATTTTTTGGTCCTTTGTCTCTTTTTGAAATATTTTATTATTTTCCGATGAGTGTTTGTCATTCCAGAAAATTTCAAACACCAAAAAGAATGTGTCCACGTAGGAACATCAGAACAAGAATATGCAACAAACATAGGGAGAAGAGAGAGAAAGGGAGAGTGTGTGTTGTGTGAGATCCAAACTTGCTTTAGTGGTTATGGCCACCGTGTGTTGTCGCTGCTTAATTCTCTCCATTTGGCCAATGTTGCTTTCAGGACGCAGAAATTGAACCTTCATGTGTAAGCTACGTTCACCCTTTTTCCCTTTTTCAATCTTTTCTCAGTTCAATTCAATTCAAATACGGGATCCAATTTTGTTTTATTTTTTGTTTTTGTATACTCTTTCTTCACTCTGATATATTTGCTTCAATCGTGGCACTTGTGAACATGGAATATAAAGTTTGTTGATCATACGGAGGTTTTTTTGCATTGATTTTTATGACTTTTTTTTTATTAAAAAAATAGCCCTTTTCGGTCTGGGCGCCCAGTTGTTTAATCTAGAAAATTATGGTTGATACTCATGTTGAATTCTCGTATGAACATCTTGAAAAATGTTCACTTTCTGTTGCCTTTCGTGTCACCTTTATTAATCGGGATTTTTTTTTTTTTTTTTTCATGTTGAGTCAGATTTTGAAATATGGAAACGAGTGGATTTTGATTGATAACCCGTCTTGAGCCCTTGCATGGATGGCGTGCAAATGTTTTCTATTTGTTTTTGTTGCTTGGATGTTAACTTCTTAAATTAGGACAATTTTGTGTTTTGATTGATAGTTTGATTCCCCACCTTCATTTCATACAAGCACGGATTGATGATGTTGTGTTTGTTGCTTCTAATTTGCTTATGTTGCCTTTTGAAGGATAGTTGGTTTTATGGCACTCAACTTGGTCTGAAATACTCATCAGTTTGTCGTAGACTCTTGCGCCCTTCTAAAGTATTAAAGATTGGTTGGTTTGTCTATGCAAAGCGAGATAAACTCAGAAAAAGGGGGGATTTTATGTTTCCTTTTTTATGTATGTATTGATTCTGTGTTTAATTGCTAGAAGATGTGATCCTCCTCTCTTTGGTTGTAAGAGGCTGTACATGATTTCTTGCAGCTGTTCAGTATCCTCAAATATCTTGTTTTGGTTATCTTTGATATGGTATTTGGTCATTGAGAATTGAGAATTGACAGCTTGGGTGTCAGTGGGGAGAAGGAATCAGACATGAATTTGTTGATTAATCAGATATGTACTCTTTTGGCATGTCACTATATCAACACTACGAAAAGAATTATCAGCGAGAGTAGATGAGAAAATTGCACTAAATAAGACAAAAATCCTGTTAGGTAGCAACACTGGTAAAGATCCTAGGGTGTTTCCTGAACACGCCCAACAAGAACTATCAGGTGGTGTTTCAAGTACAGGACGTCTTGTACAAAATATCACTATGCAGACAGGAGAGGAATTTTCTGTGACTGCTGGAAGGGTTCTTGTTTCACCCGACATACCTCGAAATCGTGAGAATGTGTTTGGATTGAATAGGGAGAATGACAATGTGAGATATGAAGATCTTACTAATATTTTGGGGTTGACGAGAATGAACTCTGAGAATTCTTCTGACATATCTGACTTTGCATCTATAAAACAGTCAGTTCAGGAGAAGGAAAATGGTGCTTCTGTAAACATTTTTAACAAAATTCAAAAGGGAGATGGTATGTTGAGGAAGGCTGTTGAAGAACCAGTCGGTGACCAGTCTGGTATCCCAGTTGTATCACCCTTTCACAGATATAAAGCTTCTCAGTCCAATGGATTTTCTGGTTCAGGGGTTTTTGATGATTTTCTGTATGGGAAAATGAAGTTTCTGTGCAGTTTTGGTGGAAAAATATTACCAAGACCCAGTGATGGGAAACTCAGATATGTAGGGGGAGAGACCCACATCATATCTATCCTAAAGGATATTTCATGGGAAGAGCTTATGAAGAAGACCTTGGGTATTTGCAATCAACCTCACACTATCAAGTACCAGCTTCCAGGGGAGGATCTTGATGCTCTAATTTCTGTTTCCTCTGACGAAGATCTTCAAAATATGAAAGAGGAATACCATGGGCTTGAAAGGCATGAACGTTCACAAAAACTTCGAATTTTTTTAGTCCCTTTGGGTGAATCTGAAGAGACATCATCAACAGAGGTGAGTGCTGTTCAGCAGGGTGATCCTGATTACCAATATGTTGTCGCCGTAAATGGCATGGGAGACCCTGCTAGGACAAACATTGGTGGGCAGAATTTGACAAATGAATCTAGTCAGTTGGGGACAGATTTGAATTTTGCTCCAGCTCTCTTGAAAAATCCAAATGCTTCTCCTTTGGAGATTAGGAATGCTATTAATGCTTTAAATTCAGATGGAATTTTGAATGATTCCCTGAATTTGCAGAGGCCCTTGCCAATTCCTCTCACTTCAATTCCAGTAACAGGTTCTAGCACAGGTTATATACAATTACTCGGTGACCACTCATGTCAGGGAAGCATTGACAGTAATGCATCCTTTGCTACTGCTCAGCTACATCCTGAGTACTCCAATATAAGCACTTGTAATTGCAGAAACCCTCAGCATGTGGCTGCTACTTTGCTAAGTGACACCTTTCCTTATCAGTATGGTGATGTTGGTCAGCCCGATAAGCTCAATGGAGGTCATTTGGACTACAATCCTGGCAAGGAATTAGTGACTCCTGTACATGTTAATCCCAGAGATGAAGCTTTTGGTAGAAAGTCCTTGCAAAGGGAAGGAAGGATCTACTCTGAAAGACCTGTTTCACACTTGGATGATCCAATCTGTCAACAGGGTGAATCTTATGGAATTACAGATTCCCCTCATGGGATGCCTCATGCCTTTTCTGATCCACAGTTGCAAGAGAGTGGAGCAAGGTCTGGGCACTGCTCCCAAAATGGATATGGTCAATCTTTCTCCTTGAATCTTGGAAAGGGTCAATTATCTTCAACGTTAATCACTAGTGTCTCACAAGTGAACGTTATGGAGCATCTGTACGATTCCATTGTCCATCATCCTCAAATTCAAAGTACAGCACCAAAAATTGAGTCAGTTGAGACACACAAAAGGCAAGATTTGGCATCTTCTCAATACTATGAGTCAATGGGAATGAATGATCTTGTTCACATGGATAACATTTCAACTGAAAAAAAGAAATTTATTGCTCAAACTGAGTTGAGTATACCCAGCTATGTTGCAAAGGATGTTCAGGAAAATTCTGTGAAATTAAAAAGGATGAACATAATTGAACAGAAGAATTCTATTCCAAAGGATAGCAAGGTTCATGAGGGGAAATCAACTGTCTTTGATAAGGGATTTGTAACTGAATTGCATCTTTTTGACTCCGTTCCTACTAATAACTTAAATGATAATAATAATATGCAAAAGAATAGGGAGCTACCTTCTGAGGGTATTGTTCCTAGTCCATCAGGCACGATGGGCTTCTCCTTAAATAATCTAGTCGGAAAGGCCCTGTTTGATTCTGACATGAGCCTAAGGACTAGTGATCACAAAAAATATGCATTGGCTGAAGGTCTGAATGGTGAACAACGGTTTGATTTTTCATTGACCAGAAATTTTGATTTAAATGCTCCAATTTTGAATTCTGAAGTAGGCTCTTGTGACAAAAGTTCTCGAGGAGATCACATGTTCAAGCGGTCCATTCACCCAGTTTCTCTTAAACCTGCACAAAGTCATCCTTCAAAACATCATATGGTTCTAGGTTTTCAAGAAAATCCTGTAGTAAGCTCTGCAAGTTTGTATCCTGCTGCATTTTGTGATGATCTTGATCCAAATCTAAACATGTCTATAAATGGCCTTGATAGTTCAATTAATATTTTGTCGTTTAAAAAGGCACCATCTCTGCTTGATGACTTAATTACCAACAATGGTCAAATGGTGGATCAATTTATCCCTAAACACTTTGCCCCAGGAATGTCAATAGTTGAAGATAAAATTTCAGAACAATCAAAAGTTTTAGAAGGTTGTACTGATGTGAATCAAGGGGAGTCGTTCATAGTAGCAGACATGACTGGTGTTGTTCATCCATATATTTCTGGTGATGTTGTAAATGGTGTCATATCCCCATCTCATATGGAAGAGAGCATCATCCCTGAGTTTGAACCCGAGGTACAAAATACTAAAATAAGACGTCAATGATATTTTCTTTATGACATACTGAATCTTGTTTTTATTTACAGGATTTCAATGAAGACAAAAATAAATTCCTTTCTGATGCAATGATAGCAGAAATGGAAGCTAGCATTTATGGTTTGCAGGTTGAACATCACTGAAATGTTCCAGTTCTGCTTTCTTACTTCAACGGCCAAGATAACATAAATGTGGCAATTAAGAATTGTTGATTCCTAATACTTAGTTATTAAATATTCAGAAATGAAATAGTTTTACTTATGGACCAATTGGTCAACGAATTGAAGGTTAAACATAAATGAAACAGTTCTTTTCTGACCTTTTTCGTGGGAGGGTGAGGGTTGTTTATCAAAGGTTTTGGCACCAAAGTAAAAAATACTTAAATGTGTGGTAAAGAGATATTCTGCTGGGCCCATTTTAGTAAAGTGCATTTTTTTCTGCTTTGGAAGTTGCATAGCATGCAGTATTTGCAACCAAGGTTGTCAAACTCTTAAGTTAACTTTTAAAATTTTGCAAGTTTCTGATCCCATACAGAGAAAACGAGTCAATTTCGTACCAAATTCTTTCTTGGGTAAACTCTTTAAACTCATCGTATACTTGCACAAACTCTTAAGTCAAGGAGCGAGTCAACCAATTTGAAATCAAATGCTATTTTTGTCTGATTTTTACCCCACAATGATTATGTTTTATAAGATTTCAAATGATTTGAAGAAATTAACTCCTTTTTTATTTAATCATAGTTTAATCTTATCTAGCACTAATGTACAATCATACTTTATTTTTGCAACTTGCTACTTTCTTTATTAAGTTGTTGAAATGCTGAATTGTTCTTGTATTAAGGACATTATGCTATATTAATAACTTTTAGCGAATTATTTTTATGTTAGGTAAACTTCTTATAAGTTTACAATTTGAATGTATGAGTCGAGTCTACAAAAGCTTCATGAGTTTATGTAGTCTTTTGAGTTTGACAACCTTCTTTGCAGACTTTGCTAATTCAGTAAGAAATTCTCCCAGTTAGTTACAATTATTTTCTGCAACCTATTGAAATCAATTGGTTTGATGCCATAATGATTACAAGAAAATCAAATGCACAGCGAACACAATTGTTTCTATCCATTATTGATAAACGGGGAGACCAAACTCCCTAGTTTGATATTTGATAAAATTGTGTTCTGATGCAAAATAAGGCTGAAGGAAGCTTTTTTTTTTATTTTTTTTTATTTCTGTTTGTTTATGACACGTTTCTCTCATTAGGGCATCATTGATGTGTTTGTGAGTGTTACTAAATAATTTCCAGTTTCCTAGTGCTCTTCTACATTTACATCCTTAGTTATTCTGTAACTGACTTTTAATACTATGTAATTCAGATAATAAGGAATGCTGATCTTGAAGAACTTACGGAGTTAGGATCTGGTACTTATGGAACTGTTTATCATGGAAAATGGCGGGGAACAGATGTTGCTATAAAGAGAATTAAAAGGAGCTGCTTTGCAGGGAGGTCTTCCGAGCAAGAACGGTTGGTAAGTATTCAGTGCACTTTTCTTCTCAACACTATGTTATGTTGAATGACATACATACATCTCAATCTACTCATATTTATTCTGACTTTTCGTAAATAAAGTGGAGGGTTAGAGTAGGATTAAAGCCGAATTCTCTTGCACTCTCTCTTCCACCCTCCTAACGTTGTTCCGTCTCCCTCTCCTTTTTATCTCTTTATTTATCTAGCTCCCTATGTCGATCATGCTGGAAGTTAAATTTTATGGCTGTCTCAAATTCAAATGTATTAAAACTTAAGTTTTTAGAGTTAAACCATAAGGTGAAAATATGTCTTACACTATTTTTTCAGTTTTTCTGAAAAGTTTTACATTGTATACTAGTTTCCAAAGTAGCTCTGTTCATTTCTGTTGAAAGAAAAAGTCAGCTAAGCACTTGAATCTTACAATGCTTCATGTCTTCGGTAGGCAAAAGATTTCTGGAGAGAGGCACAAATCCTCTCAAATCTTCACCATCCCAATGTGGTTGCATTTTATGGAATAGTACCGGATGGGTCTGGAGGAACCTTAGCAACTGTAACAGAATACATGGTTAATGGTTCCCTTAGGCATGTCCTTGTAAAGAACAACAGGTATTCTAATTTAGTAATTTTCTTAGAATATAATTTTGAAAAAGTTATTTATGCACGCACCAAATTCAACTCTTTATGCAGATTACTTGATCGCCGTAGAAAACTAATAATTGCCATGGATGCAGCTTTTGGTATGGAATATTTGCACTCAAAAAATATCGTCCATTTTGATTTGAAATGTGACAATTTGCTTGTCAATCTAAGGGATTCACAACGACCAATATGCAAGGTAAGAATCCCAGATGTCAAGCTTCAGTTTGTTTAATGTTAAGGAATGAGAGAAAGAGGTTTAATGGATTCGATTTGTTAAACTACATTGCAAAGATTGGGTTATACAGACAAAAAAGTGTTAAATACAAAGTAACAAATATCCAAATTACTATAAATGCATGATTTGGGCATCCTATACAATAAATAAATCTTGACGCATTTAAATAGTTTCCAAAACTCCTCTAGATGGAGTATATAGGTCAAATGCATCATGTTTGTCATGTATATTTGGACCTTTCGAGGGCTTAGGGAAAGTATCCACATGGTAGTCATTTGAATTAATGAACAAAGTGGTGATATTTTTTGGTTTTGGATAAGATGTTCTCTATTGAAATGGAAATTGATATCAAAGTGTATGGTCTACTGAGGCCGTGGAGATTGTGTTCTGGATTCACTAGGGAAGGTCTATAAGAGAAATATGCTCCATAACAAGATGAATCTTTGATTTGTCAATTCTACATAGTTGAGTGCAATGTTTGTTGACCTAGGGTGCATGGAAACAAAGACAAAGTCACATTTGGTAGTGAGGTCAGTCATGTTATTCCGCTCAATAATCCACAATTTGATATCTGAAGCCCATGTATCATATTTGTTTCCGTCCAAACTGTTAGAGGAGTTACATTGACATAGTTGGTGAAAATAAGGGCCAGTTTTCATTGCAGCCATCAAAAGATTCAACTTTAGCCATGGGTAACATTTGGATGACAGTATAAAATGTTTTGGAGGGACAGGAGATATCCAAAGAGAGATCAGTTCTAGATGAGGGTAGATGTAAGGAGACTAAAGGATGCCAAAAATCTGTCCTAGAGGAGAAAAACCAGATCTAAAGGCCAATCAATGGTTGGGAAAGCCATCAGTCAGTGGTGGAATAGAGTAGAGTGAGAGGATGCTGCTAGAGGGACATCACGATAGATGAAGGCATGAAACTTAAAATAAAAACGTAAATTTAGTAAGAAAAGTAATTAAACAATTGGTGGTAGGTCCTTAAAGTACACACAGATGAGGTTTGCATCTCAATTTAGGTTTTAAATATACCATGTTCTGGCTAAAAACACAGGCATATGATGAAATCCCTGTCTTGAACAAGTAAAATCATTTTAATTTTTGAATGAAATTGAGCTATCAAATGTTTTAATATAAGACTGACCAAAAAGGCATATTTTGGAACTGAGAATAGAATCAGAAAGCAAGCATTGAGATCTGGTTGCTTAGAAATGACTTGGGTGATTTTCAAACCCCAAAACCCTTTATCCTCCATTCCTTTACCCCAACTTTTTCTCTCCCCACTGTCCCACCCTCTGCCAATTCGTATTGGAGCATTGTACTGTTATAACACTGAATTGAATAAGCGTTGTAGCATATGGTTGAAGAAAACATGTGGAAACCGGAAGCAATTGGGTAGGCAAAAGCCAGGGTAAAATCAACTACAACCTGTGCATTAAATACAAAATATTAGTCTGATATGATTTAATGAAATTTTATGAAATTTTCTTATTATTAAAAAGGACATACTTTTTCTTTTGCAATGTTGTTAATTATTTTCGCCTAGGTTGGAGATTTTGGACTATCAAGAATTAAACGCAATACCCTTGTATCTGGAGGTGTGCGAGGAACCCTTCCATGGATGGCACCAGAGCTTTTGAATGGGAATAGCAGTCGGGTTTCTGAAAAGGTAACTTGAGACCATTCATATAAAATTTAGTAATATTTAAGAATCAATGATTCTCTTGGCAAGCATTCAGCTTGTGGAATGACTTTGGCAGGTTGACGTTTTCTCATTTGGCATCTCAATGTGGGAGTTATTAACAGGAGAGGAACCTTATGCAGATATGCATTGTGGTGCGATTATTGGTAAGAATCTGTCAACAATATTTTATACCTTAACTGGAAAGCTAAATTCCTTTTTCAGACATAAGAAATTTTGTGGAAGGAATGGTGCAATAGAAAATTAAAATCTTATCACTGTAGGAAGTTGCATTATTTTTTGTTTTGTTCTCTCTTAATTATTATTGATATCTTCAAGGGACATTAATGTTATTTTGCGTAGATGTGTACAAGTAACAATCTAGTCATTAACTGAAGCAGTATACTTGTGAACCTGTCTTTTTTGACTACCATATGATTGAACTCCTGGTATGATTTATGCGGGACCAGATGGCATTTATGTTAATGATGAAGTGCGTCGACTTTTCGTAGTCTGTTTGCTTTGGGCAGTTGCATTTCATTAATTTTTTTATATTAGCTTAGTAGATTGGTATGCAGAGATTGGTATGCAGAACTTTCAACTCACATGATGGCTGAAACTGTTTGCAAGAAATCCCTGTGAGAAACTCTTCTGACTTCGATGTTATTCATTGCTGGACTTCAATAATATTAGGCAAGTAGCTGTTTGAAACTGACCAGACAAGGCCATTGAGTATTTATTCTAAACAAACTATTATTACCTCTATTAAGATCATTTGGTAGTTAAGATATTATAAAATATAAGAACAAGAAAAAAAATGATAGAATAAGAGGATAAAAGTAGAGTAAACTTTAATCTTATTCAATATTTTAGTATACACATCAGACAATATTATGTAAGGATTTTATATCTTCTGTGATAGTCACGTGACTCGTTAAGAGATAGATGAATAAATAAATAATAAAAGACTAAATGGTAAATGAGTTAAATAGGAATAATTTATGATAAAAATGATTATTTGATGGGAGTAACGGTTTTAAAAAGGTTCAGATCCATTTAGGTGAAATAAGGTCTCCTTTTATAGAACTTAAGAGCAAGAAACAAATATGATAGGATAAGAGTAGAATAAACTTCAATCTCATTCAATATTTTATACTCACCTGACAATATTAATGTATCATGATGGCATATATTAACACAAGTCAGATATGTTGTTGTTGGTGGTTGTGGCAGTGGGTGGTGATAGCGGTGACAATGGTGATGATTGTGGTGTGACAATAATAATAGTGATGAGAGTGATAATGTTACTATGATTTCACAACGGTAATTGTAGTAGAGTCAGTGTAGCAACGTGGGGAGAGGGAGGAATATCATGGTGCTTTTAATTTAATTTTTTTAAGATAAGAAATACACTTTATCTATAAGATCAGAAAGACAATAATAAAATAAGCAAATCATTTCCTATTATATGAAAACAATTAATTATATTTGGATAGGATCATAGGATATTATCCTATTCTATCTAAGCCACTGAACTGTCGTTTTAAGGAAAATAGAAAATATATCGAATTCTTGACTACCTATACATAAAATTTAGGCGTGGACTTGTGCTAAGGATGCAATGTTGTTCGTATATCTTATATTCTTTGCGAAATAGGTGGTTCCTTGTTGCATGTCTTAATGCCATTGGAAGAATATCAATAGCTTTCTAACTTTCATTATTGACTTCCCCTTACATGTTCGTTTAGGGGGCATTGTAAAGAACACTCTTAGACCTCCTGTGCCTGAAGGATGCGATTCTGAATGGAGGAAGCTTATGGAAGAGTGTTGGTCACCTGACCCCGAAAGGCGACCATCATTTACAGAGATCACTAGCAGGTTAAGATCCATGTCTCTAGTCCTTCAAGCAAAAGGGAATTATCAGGCACATCAGTTAAGACCCTCCTGAAAGAAAGGCACAATTTTCTGCAGTTATGTTTGATGGTGCAGGATTTTCATTGTACAGTAATGTGTTTAAAGAAGCAGTCAAGATTGGATTGACATGTTTTAAGGGGTATCACAACATTGGCCTATTATTTCTTGTGATTTCTTTTAGTTACTATTTCTTCATTTGTTTATTCTTTTTTGTAAAATCTGAGGTAAGATCATGGTATAGTAGTTACTTAGATCTTAGAAATTTTGTAATTGCTGTATGGATGAACATTTTGCAGAAGATATACAGAAATAGGAAAGAAAAGGTGTCCCCTAGTGTGTATACAGACAACAATGCTTGTAATATTTGTATTGATAGATGTGAGTATCTCTTTCTACCATTTTTGGAATATGAGAATGCAAACACCATGGTAGAGACTGAGAAATATATCTTGTTAAGGAAAGGAGACAGAGCCCTTCATATTCAACAAAATAGAAAAATTAAAAAAATAAATGAAATATTTATCATCTATGAACACTTTTTTTTTTCTCTTTTATCCTTTAATAATAATAATTATATATAGTAGGGAATATCTCTATTTTGTGTATACATTTTACTTTTCTGTTTTACCATTTAATAAATATTAATGTAACAAATATATATCTTGCAACAGTATGTATGGGATTAGCCGCTTCAATGGGATCCTTTATTTTGGCAGGAGGTACAATTACCAAACGTCTTGCATTCCCTCACGCTTGGCGCCAATGATTCTTTTCTTTGAGAATATATATATATATATAGAATAAATATCTATCTATATACTATACCTTCGCCATAAAAATAAAAGTAAAAATAGCATGGTATTTTGAATTCCATATGCAATTTTTTTGAATCATTCAATTATATATAGAAAGAGTAGTATGAAAAAGAGGGTATTTACAATTTTCTCTGATCTATAAGAAATCTAGTTTAATTTCAGTGTCACAGACTTTCTTTTTTGTTTTTTTTTTTCATACCAGAAAGCTTTTAACAATTTTTATTTTAATCAGAAGAATAAGATATGAAAAAAAAGAAACTTTTGGATTGTTGAATAACAAAATGATATAAAAAACAACGGAACCATCGTAGTATTTTAAAATAGATTAAAAAAGAAAAAATAAAGTTGGTTATTGTATTGTTTATTCTTTAAGGATCCGGATCCAAAAGACACTCCATTATCAAAATGTTAAAAGAAACTTTCATCTCATGGATGTTTTATGGTATTGTAGTCCATATTTATAACTAATTTATTAAATTATTTTCTTATACATAATTGCACGCGTCACTTTTCTATCATCTATAACAATATATTATGGTTAAAAAATATTTATTATAAACTTTTATTGAATAAACGTTGCTATTGTGTACAAATTATCATTGTAAAATAAATATATATGCCTTGCCAATTTTGATTTGAAAATAAATTAAAGTATATGATGTAAAGTAATTTTAAAATATCAACCAAATTAATTTTATTAAAAACTTTAACTACAAATAACTACATTATCACGGGACTTATGTGTAACGGGTACAATGATATTCACAATTTAAATTCAATATACTTAATTTTTAATATTATCAATGTAAGGGATGTATTTTATCACGTCTTGTCAAAAATATTAATTTACGGAAGAAAAGAAAGAAAAATAATATGAATAATTTTCTTATTTTAATTATCACCTTAAAATGTTTTATTCCCTCTTAAAATTAAGAACAAAAGAGAGAAAAAAAACATTAAAGTGAAATTACGAATAAACTATGATAAATTTATGATTAGCGTATAAAATTTCAAAATTTGAGAAATATATATAAAAACATAAGTATCTTTTTCATTATAATTATTTTATTATTATTATTATTATTATTATTATTATTATTATTATTATTATTATGATTTTAGCATCTACGTTTTCTTTGTAGTTTTTCGAGGGACTTCAAAAGCTTCCTTAATCCTTCTTACAATTCTATGAATCTTACTTCTTAGAAGAAATTGAAACTCATCTCTTTAACTTTGCCTCAATATCTTAAAACTCATTATATTTTCCTTTTTCAAAGTGTTATATTCTCAAGAATACACTTCGTCAAAATTCATGCATCTATTCCTATTATCATCACCATCAAAAGCTTCATGAATGCCCAATATTGGATTTTTTTTACAACGATCCATCGTTAACGTTGTATACTCCATCTTTCTTTTTTCTTTTTTTTTAACCTGTAACTCATCTTACTTCTCATCTTGTGATCACCTTTTTAACCAACTTTCAAGGTTAACTCATATCATCTTCGTATAATATTTTCTCTTTTATATATATATATATATATATATATATATATATATATATATATATATATATATTATTAAGATCAATTTTTATATTCAAAATATTTTTCATTAAGTTTTAATTAATTTTAATTTTATATTTTCTCTTTTATATATATATATATATATATTATTAAGATCAATTTTTATATTCGAAATATTTTTTATTAAGTTTTAATTAATTATAATTTTATTTTTTAAAGAAGTATCAGTAAGTAAAAAAAGAATAATATATATAAACTATAAACTTTTTTTTTTAACGTTGAACTTTCGAGGGTACAAAGAATAGTTTTTTTTTTATATATATGTAATTCTTGTTTACAATAAGAACAATTTTATCTTTTCTTATAAATTGTGATTTAATAAACTGCGATAATAAATAATTAAATTAAATCCAATCAAATATCTTAACTAATTAAATTTAATTTTAGTATATCTAATTATATATTATTAGATCATTTAAAATAAAAAAATTAAATAAATATAATTTACACTTTCATACTATATACTTTTTATTTTATTTAAATATATATTATTTTCATTTGTAATTTTATTTGACTATATGATAAAGAATATTTTATTTAAATATATTTATAATTTAAAATTTTATTTTATCATAATTTTATTTTATTTTAAAAGAATTTAATAATTTAAAGAACGATAATGTATATAAATTACTTTTTATTTCTATTTTTAAGTGATATTAGAAGTGAATATTTTTTATTAAAACTTCACAAAATAAGACATAAAATATGTTTATACATTTATATATATATATATATATATATATATATATATATATATATATAATTTACATGGTTTTTTTATAAAAAAAATTATTAAAGTTGACAAATATTTTTTTCACCACCTGATCTCGTAGTCTACCTGACCGACCAATCGGTGAAGTTTGGGACCTCATTCAGAATCCTCCGACATAGTTATTACACTAATGTACTCTGTACCACCCCGGGTACCATTCAAACATAACAAAAATTATTCACATTTGTCGGATTCTGGATCACCTGTCCTCACGGCTCATTCGGGTCAATAAAAATAGGATTTGACTGATTCTGGCACAAACCCTCCCGCTCAGTCTAGCCAATATATAACGTCTTATGACTGATTCTGGGCATCAGCCCTCAGGCTCAGTCTGACTCACACATGTCACAACACACTACTTTCATTCTCTCTCTCTTTATATATATTTTTTTCTAAAATCATTTCCGAAATCATTTTCGAAATCATTTCCGAAATCATTTCCGAAACTATTTCCGAAACTATTTTCGAAATCATTTCCAAAATCATTAAATTACTATTTCGCCCTTAATCTTTTCTTTAAAATTCTATGTATGTCCCTAAATGACTATTTTACCCTTTGGAAATTTTCAAAAATTCCTTCCATGTCCCAAAAATGACTATTTTACCCTTGAACATTTTAAAAAATTCCCTCCATGTCCCTAGGATGTAAAATAACTATTTTACCCTTGAACATTTTCAAAAATTACATCCATGTCCCTTTCTTCTTCCTAAGCCATTTTTAAAATCTAGATTTTTCAATTTCTCGAGTTTAAAGCACCCAAATTAGTTCTAAATCAAAATTAAACATGCAATATGTCCAAATTAAGTCAAAAACAACAATTTTAATATATAATTCATCTTTAATTTCAAGAATTTCATCAATATTTAAAAATTTGCAAAATATGAATAGTAATCACCTCCGAGTACGCCATTTTCAAAATCCAGGTTTCAAATTTCTCAGTTTTAATCACTCAAATTAGTTCTAAATCAAAATTAAACCATAAACATGTTCAATTTAAGTTAAAAACAATAATTTTATTATATAATTTATCCTTAATTTCAAGAATTTCAAAAAAAACTTCAAACGGTGAACAGTTCATCAGAATCATAAATTCTTCAAAATCGGACATTCAAATAATTCCTATCTCTACTCCTATTCCTTATTCACGAGTACCCGACAATTCAATTTCATATATTGAATGAATTAAACTTCTCCTTACCTTGTATGGTATTTCTACCAAAACTTTTCCACTTAATTCAAACTCTGTCCTGTTTCACCATATCCTACAGGAATAGAGTATTATTGCTTGAGATTTAGACAAAAGAAGAAGAAGGATGAGAGGAAATTTTTATTTTGCCTCCTCCCCCGCTTCAGTACGCGCATATATAAAAAGCAAAAATTTACTATGCATGAAGAAAACTTCGTTACGAAGTTTTCTTGCACAATAATCTTATTATATTATAAAAAAAACATACGTCACATCAACTAGAATAAATTTTACAAAATTCAACAATAAATATCAAATATTTTATCACAAATTGATTATATTTTGTTGAAAATGTATATAAGGTAGGAGCTTGAGACGTATTAACCAAGTTATAAATAATGATTAAATAAGACTTTTAAGTTGATGAAGTATAAAAACAGGAAGGAGATAGTAGTTTGATGATAAACATAAAAATTTCCTACATATTTATACAGCTCATAAAGATACAAGAAAAAGTGAAAAAAATAAAAAACTAAGATTTGAATATTTGATCATTTGTAATATATATCTTATGTCCAATATGCACAATATAATATCTTATAAACTAATTACAATTTATATATAAATAATTAATTATTTAAATAGTATTAATTTGCAGCAACATCATAAGATTTAATGTTATCAAAATAATTAAATAAGATTACCAATATATAAATATATAAATAAGAACTTGTAAAATATAAATTTATTTGGGATAATAACTTTTAGTCTATATTATCCATCAAAATGTTACTACTATACTAAAATCTTGTAAAAATAATAAAATGAGGGATGACATGTATATAATTATTTTTGCTTTGTATAACTACTCTACAATTTTATCTAATAATATAATAAATATGCAAATTTAAAATTATTATTATTATAATATTAAAATAGATTGTTTAGTGGATATTTGACTAAAAAGATTGTGAAGATAGTATTTTATTTTATTTTTTAAAAAGTTACTTATCTTATTATTTATTTATTTACTAAATACATGCAGATGTACCTTACCCGATTACGTATCCTACCAGTTTCATGTACGCTGATTATTTAAGCTCACGATTTAGCCCAATGTATTTGGACCCGTGAATCAATATCCTCGTTGATAGGTGCACGCTGCATTTTCATCTTCGTTGCTCACAATTCTATTGCATACAAAATATATATATATAAATAAATTATATTTATTAAAGCCCTCTTTTATGGAATTCCATTTTCTTCCTTCCCTTGTTTCTTCTCTGCATCCTTGGGATCTCTTGCATAGACCAAACCCAGAAGAAGAAGGAAATTTAAAAAAAATAAAAATCAACCCTTTTTGTAAATCCCCACCTTTTGTTATATTTAGTTTCTATTTAGTTTCTGCAATTTATCTTTCTCGATCCTAATTGGGCTTGATCTTTCTATCTCCATTTGATGATTGTGTTGTATTGCTTTCGATTTTAATTTTCCCAAGACAAATCTTTATTTTTTTATGGTGATTGAATTTTGCTCAGGGTTTGGGGGTTAGGTTTAGGGTTTGTTTTAATTGGTGTGTTGGCTGGATGTTGATCTGGGGTTAGTACCCGCCATGTATAACTTTCCTTGGGATTTTATTGGGTTTTGGAAATTGGAGCTTAGTTGATCCCCAACCTTTTGTGGGATTCCTTTCTATTTCTTGATTCCACTTCGCTCTAATTTTGTGTGATTGGATCCATGCAACTGAATGTTCTACAATTTTCGTGTATGTTATTGAAAAAAGAGTTTGTGCTTGGAGATCATTACTAGTTTGCTTGATTATCTATATAAATTTGTGTAGATGTCTTGTTTGTGTAGTAGATGTCTTCTGTATAAAGCTTGATACTGTAGTATTGGATTTTGTTATTTTCTTCATGTCTATTTTTTATTCTGTTGGTTTCTTCTGATGTTTAATATATGGGCAAAGAATCGAATTTGGTTCTCTATGTTATTATCCATGCCCATTTGATTGATTATATGACTTTAATATTGCTTATTGCTTCCATGCTTTTTGACTTTTGAAGAGTATGTTGGATTGACATCCTGAATGGGTAAAATTTAATTTGATTACCGTAAGTGCCTGTAATGTTGACACCTTGGTTTTATTGGATAGGAAGAATTCCTACACTGCTAACCTCACTCTTTTGTGGTTATTATCAATTCCTGATCATATCTGTCCCTAAGTAATAACACTAACTTGATATATCCGGAGTGTTGCTTCTATAACAATAATGCATTGAAGTCCTTATGTTTCTTATTTATTATCCTGCGTGTTCATTTGAGCTTTACTCAAATAACTAGACAAAACTCATTTCTCCCATTTATCACATTTAGTGTCAGTTCCATTCTTACCGTCTCCTAGGTTGAATTGAATCCATATTGACTTATTTGATCTTAGATGCAAAACAAAAGTAAATGGGATTTACTGATGAGCCTAATCACAACCCTTGTTGATTTCTGATAATGTGATCTAGCGTACTAGGGATTCACCAATGAACATGTTAGAATTGAAAACTCTCCCAAAATCATCTCATCCAAAGTTAGTGTTGTGTTGGTGAATCAGTTTCGTTGAAGTGTCCTTATTTCTCTGTTTATATGGTTCCGTTTTTAACTGATGATTCCTAGATTTTAAATTTAATTGATATTGAAATTTATTGGATTGAGATATTGTATTGCTGAACATAGTCTTTTTCTTCCTTTTTGATGGTGTACCCGCAGATTTTGAGGCTTGTTGGTGATTCTGTAGTACAGAAGTGTTCGTTAGTTATACATTTGTCCAAGATTATTGTATACATTGATTCATTTTTTGTGTCGTACTTTGGAGCATTGCATGAGTGATTGCCCTCTGATTCTTTTGTGAAGTCAACTAAAGTTCTTATAATTACATACTGAGCTTCAGAAGCCTCTGGTAGGGAGTAAAACTAGAGCTTATTGTCTTGGTAAGTTTATAAGCAAACAATAAATCATATTATCATCCCCATGTCCTTTGTTTCTTTCTGAAAATGCCTTTTGCATTGTGCTCGCTACATATTTGCTTGAACTTTAATTTCATTTCTTCTATGGATCTTCTTTTTCATATTTTTCCTTAACAAAAAAATTTCTAGTGAAATTTATCAGTTAAAACTTTGTTCGTCTTATACCTGGTTTTCTTCTATGAGAAAAGCTGGACTTTACTGTGAGTAGACCTTATTTTTTTCTATCAGTTATAGGTTTTGAATTGGCCAGAAATTCTTGGCTAATTTCCTTTTTACCATATAATAAATCTGTTGGCGTTTGCTTCACGAAGTAGTAGATTCATAGTCACTGGAACAAGGTACCACTACAGTGACAGTTATAACATTTGGGTAAAGATACAAAGTGTTGTTACAACAAATGAGACTACTCTTTGTCAAATTAGGTTTAGATGCCTTAAGCAATGACACCAATGTAGTACAGGTTTTTTGGTTTAAAGAATCTGTTGATGTACGTGCTGTTAAACTTGAATGATGATTGATAATCTATCCAAATTCTTGGTTTTGAATCCAAGAATATGTTGTATTGATTTCTTTGAGAAAGTATGAAGAAGTAACTACACGATTTGCTTAAATTTATATTCAAATGATGTTCGTGGGGCTACCTAATCATTTGGCTAATGGGTCACTTTGTGTTGTTGTCAACGGTCTGTTTTTCTTATCAGTTTATTTTATTTTATTTTTCTTTTTTACTTTACTTTTATATTTATATGTAGTCAAATAAATCAACACACTGCAGAGTCAACATATTAGAATGCTAGATGTAGATTGTACCTTGTTTATTGAAATCTCAAAATCACACAGAGAATCAAAACATTATCCTTTTGTTATCATGTTATGTAGGAAGGATTTAATAGTGCATAGGCTTCACTATTGTGTGTAGTAAAAGGCAGCCGTTGTACATCTGTATTTTTGTTCCTTTTTTATGTTTTACTGGGTAAGAAAGGGCACCTAGAACTAAAATTAGAGGAATACATAGAAATTGGGGAAGCCTTTAACTAGAAGTCCAAGTAATATTATACATCAAGCTTATCAGTTATCACTTTCCTCCTTGCTGGTGTTTATTCATTCTTGTGCAAATATATTCGCAATTGGACAAAGCTTAAGTGGTTCATGTGGAGTTTATTATATGTGGTTTTAGTTTGTTACATATTTTTTTAACTCTTTGCCTGTTCCTAGGTTTAATAGAATTATTCTTGTACTGCTGGCTATGTTTTTTATTATGTTTAATTTAATGTCAAAGAATTGTGTGTATGATATCTTAGTATGTAAAAATGAAAAAAATTTGGTCAGGTTACTTGCATCCTTTTCTAATTAGTTCAATATGTTGAGTAGTTAACACCTTGTGAAGAAGATGGCTGGTGTTAAGAGAAGATTATGTAGTGATTCAGATATCCATGCTCTTCACAAAGAATTGGATGAAGTTTCATGTCCTATCTGCATGGACCATCCACATAATGCTGTTCTCCTCCTTTGCAGCTCTCATGAGAAGGGCTGCAGATCTTACATTTGTGATACAAGTTATAGACATTCAAATTGCTTGGACAGATTTAAAAAAATGAGGGAGAATTCTAAGGAGAACCAAAATTTACCCAGTTCTTTAGTTAACACAAACAATTCTGGTAATAGTTTTGATATTAATATTACTATGCAATCTGACATGCATGATGTTAATGAACTCCATCAAAATGAAATTAATACTCTATTGTCTGTTGGACTTGCACAAGGATCAAGACAGGGTGATGCCCAAGATCCAAGTAGGCATTTAGACCCACATGATGAAGGAATTTTAGAAACTGCTGATTCTGAGACCTTGCAGGACAGGGCTGTGCATGAGGATTTACATACAGATAATTCATCTGAGTCAAAATTGAATTTGAAATGCCCTTTATGCCGAGGTGCAGTATTGAGCTGGGAGGTGGTTGAAGAGGCTAGAAATTATCTGAACCTGAAGAAGAGAAGTTGCTCAAGGGACTCGTGCTCATTTGTTGGTGATTATCTGGAATTGCGAAGGCATGCAAGGAGAGTTCATCCTACTTCTCGTCCCTCTGACATTGATCCTACAAGAGAAAGAGCCTGGCGACATTTTGAACGCCAGAGAGAATATGGCGATATTATGAGTGCTATTCAGTCTGCCATGCCTGGAGCTGTGCTAGTTGGGGACTATGTTCTTGAGAATGGAGATGGTATTGGTAGGTTATCAGATGAACATGAAGGCAACATGAGCAATGGAAACGGGCCTTGGTTAACGACCACTATCTTGTTTCAAATGATGGATAGTACCATTGAAATTGTTAGGGAACCAAGAGCTCATTCAAGTGCATGGACGAGGCACCGCCGTTCATCTGAAACCCGGCGCTATCTTTGGGGTGAGAATTTACTCGGTCTTCATGAAAACGACATTGAGAATGATCTGAGAATATTTAGTGATGCAGGTGAAGATCCATCTCCTGTCCCAAGGAGGCGTCGACGTTTGACCCGAACGAGGTCCAATTAAGATCAACCATGATGATTGCCATCATTTACCTGGTAATAATCATAGTTCAGTTTTCTGGCAGGAACTTGTATTACTTGAATTGTTTTGAATGTGTTATCACTTAACGCACTTGGTTTCTTCAGTAGAATCGTTTGAACAGCATATAGAACTTGTTCAAAGTTGTGTACGGGAAATGCATTCAGACCTATGTTCCACCTTTGGACTCAGTGCAGTATCCTGAAGCTGCAAGTTCAGAATAAATCAGTAATTTCCTTGAACACTAGTTTCATTGAAACCAGAAAAATCTCTGGAAGGATGTTTTCAAAGACCCCTTTAATGTAAAAGGCTCCTAAGCCTTGGAAACACACTGAACATTCGGGTGATTTGGAAGGTTGTTGCACTGTTAATATTGGTATCATGTATAATACTTGTGCTGTGAACCTAGCTTTGTTCAATCCTTATCTCTCTATTAATTTGTTTGTTTAAGCTTTGGGAATATTGTCTGGTTCTTTCGAGGCACATTGTTTCTTTGTTTTTGGGAGGTCATTGAAATACAAGTAGAATTATCAAAATCAATTTGATTCCATGGATTGCATGAAAATTTTGAAATTTGAAAGGTTAACTAAAAAAATTAGTCTGCATTGAGTTAGTTTAAATAGGTTTAAATTACAGGATTGTTTTAAAATATAATATTATTTTTTTAATATATGTATATTATAATTTATATATTAACTTATTATATCTAAAACTAGAATTAGTTTGATTAATATGATTTAAATTTTAAATTTTTTATTTATTTATTTAAAATTAACTTTTTATTAATCTTTTAAAATGAATCTAAATGATTCATTGATTTGATAGAGGATAGGGTTGATCCAAAAATATAACTTATTTAAAAATTTGAATTGAGTTAGATTGACATAATTTTAGGTGATTCATTGGGTTAGTGAATTCAAATTGGATCAAAATATTTAATTCGTCTAGATAAAAGCATGAAGGGATAAGAGAAATTGGTGATTTTGTAAAAGTAACTTAAGTGATCTGTGAAGAGTTAAAACAATTTTGATGTTTGAATGGTTGAATAGAAGATGATAATGATACATATGTAGAGAGAGATAAATAAATATTCAGAGTAATATTTAGTTATTAATCAAACATTTTGTGTAGTTTGATTCTCTGGATGTAGTAGTGCTCAAGAGTCATTTTGTATCATTCTACTGTTTTTTAACAAAATTGAAAAGAAAGATGATGGAGATTATAGAAGAAATAAAAGTAATCAATTATTTTGAAACTTATAAGTAGTGTAATGGACTATAATATTTAAATCCAAATAAAATAACATAATATATTAATGAATGAATTATACTTATAGTCTCTAAAAAATTAAATTTATACTTCATTTTTTAAAATTTTACATAATTTGTCTCTTTATTTAAAAAAATATTACATTGCTAATGGATGACAGTGGAGGTGTGATGAAATGGTTTCAAAATGTTAATGGAATCAAATTATTTGTGTTGAACATTGAGACCTGGCTCAACCTTCTGTGTACGGCCAACACCACTTCTCTCCTCCTTGAAACGGTGTCACTTTACTGATATTAGTAATAAATAAATCAAATAAAAAGCAATATCCCCTTGTTGAAATGATCCATAAATAGAAATTTTTGAGTAAATATTCTTAAAACTACCATAAATAAATCATAATTATAATATTTGTGAAGAAAACTCATCTTCATATTTTTTAAAAATATTTTACAATATTAAAATTAACTAAAGAATTTGTGATTGAATTAATTAACATGACAATGTGACGTGGTTCAAGCTAATATTCATTAAAATAAGTTTAGTCTCATTGTCTTATTTAAAAATAAAAAAAATAAGTTATATTAAATAAAAAATTTATATATTAAATTAAATCAGATTTATTTTGATTTTAACATAAATTAAATCAAATTAATCCTATCAACTTATTTTAAAAATAATAATTATTTTTTAAAATAAAATATATTATGGTGTTAATATATATTATAAAATTAATTTAATAAAAAATTTACTTATTTTAAAAATAAATATCATAATAAATATTTAATAATTAATTATTTCAATATTTTATTATTAAGATTAATTATTAGTTTAAATTAATAAATTATTAATAAATAATAATAATAATAATAATAAATAAATTTTTAATTTATATTTTAAAATTAAATATATTTTCTTATAATTTATATATGAAATTATTATATCTTGAATAAAAATAAATTTTATTAATAAAAATTAAACTTTCAAAAAATATTTTTATTTTTATTTAAATTTTTAAAATTAATTGATTTTAATAAATATGTTAATATTTTAAAAAAATCAATTAAACTAAAATGACTATCGTCTAAAATATATTAGACTAAAAAAATTTAGTCATTTTAAAATATAAACTATACTGAAGTATTAAATTTTTTATCTCATTCTATAAACCAGATTAAAACTAAGCTGAACGGTACATTTTAACATTTTTAATCATTAACGGCAATGCCTTTAACAATCAAGGTATAAAACTAACATATTTTGTGAAATTGAAACCCTAAACATAACACATTTTTTAATTAAAAAAACATAAATTTAAAAGATAGTGTTAATTGAAAAAAAAATCTAACCTATTACTTCGTTTATTATTTTTTGTCTGTTTTTTAGGGTTCATTGGTTAAAAAAAGAAAATATTTTTATATCAATATTTTCTACAATGATGTCAAAACTGTTATTTTATTAATAATAATGATGATGAAATAAATTATTCTTGAATTTTCAAACACATTATTAATAAGAAGCGAAAACTTTGTTCTAAACTCATCTAGTTTTAGATGGACTTGCGTCTAATTTAACCCATAATTAATTTGGTCAAACATAAATCACTCTAATTCATTCTTTCTTAATCTACTTTCTATCATCTTTAATAATCGTTGAAGTTTTGTCATTTCTCATATTAAAATTAGATAATTTCTTAAACATAAATTCTATCGTATAAGAAAATCTATATATTATTATTTTATACAAAGTATACATTATTTAAATAGAAATCAAATGAAAAAGTTGGTCAAACACAACAAGTAGTAAAAAGAAAAATTAAAAGAAGAACATCAATGAAAAAGGGTTTGAAGACCCTATGCAAGGAGTGTGGGAATTCCAAAATTCTTCTTGGAAATTCTCGTGCGTTGCGTGGCTCAGCCATGTGACACTGATGGTTCCCCAATTTGTACCCACAGGAATTCACCGCTGGCTAAATATCTTCTGCAAGTCCCCCACATGCTTAACTGCAACAACAGCAATGACGATATACCCAAGTAACTTTGTGTTCATACATAAATAAATTACAAAAATACACATGATTCTACAAGATTTTGAAAGGAATCACCAGGCACCATGTCCAGACAAATTTTCTTTCTTAATCAAAATTTATGTTCTACTTCCATGTGCTCCCCCCAAATATTGGGCACTTTTAACATAAAGTAGCAGCACTGTTCATCAAAATGTTCTGTTTGTATGCATTTCATCTACCTCACTTAGCAAAGAGGTTTGGTTTCAAAAACAATAATACCTTATCCTTTTTCTGTCATTGCAGAGATATTTGTCTATTGTTTAGATCATTTCCTTCAAGCATATAATTGCTTTCCATGATTGAGCATCCAATGTTCTGTTGTATTGTAGCATGGATTTCGGGATCAAGAAAAACATTACACTCTTTTAACATACTTTTTTTATGAAAATTTGTTAGATGTTCTAAGCTAATGCAGTTTCAATCAATTTTCATGTGATATGTTGTTATTCTTTTTATCAGTGTTTTTTATTAGTTTTTCAAATTAAAGAAATGTGATTATGTTCTCTGTTTTAACACATTTTGATATTTTATAATTGATTGATATTCATGTAGATCCCAAGAGATATATATGAATGAGTTTCATTTTCTATGTAGTGATTCGATTCCCAAAGTGGTGAACCTACACAAAATTCATTTAATAAGACATAAAGAAGAAGATAGGTGTGTGTGGTCAGAAATAAAATTTTATATATATTCGTAGGCCTTAAAAGCCATATTGATACTTGTGCATAGCTCAAAAGGCAAGCACAGAAATTATAATTGATAATCTTGCTTGAACAAAGGCAAAATGATTGGGTTAACCTAATGACATTGAATTTTGCTTGTTTCATTCTTCTATTCTTACCCTATTGTATGTAGCTTTTGTTTCCAGCAACATTAACCGGATTGCTCGTATTGGCTGCCGAAAATAATTGAGCATTTTGGTCCAAATAAAAGCTAGAAATCCACGCTAACTTTCCACTGCTTTCATTTTAAACTACCTTGTTAAGCAAATCTCCAATTGGTGGCACTTCCAAGATGGGGTCCAAACATCTCACAGACACACAAAAATGTATGGCCAAGAACATTGCCGCAGAGGCTGCACTGAAACATTTTGTTTCTTAATTGATTAATTAATCAAATTTGAAGTGGTTTTATCTTAATATGTCCCACTTGATCATGTTGTATATAATAAGCCATTGAGCCCCATGTTACAAAGAATCACAAGCCAACTATTCCCCACTCACAGCCTGGTTGTCTCACCATCATCCTTAGATTCACTGCAATTTTGTTTGTCTTATCTTACCAAAGGCCTCATAGAGTAGACAGGAATCTTTGGCATCCAGACAGCACAGATAGATCTGCAAACCTGTTCATTTGACTGATACAGTCATCACACAGACCCACTAACAAAGACAAAAAGTTTATATTTTTTATAAAAAGTGTGAACAAAGTATCCACTGTAGGCATGCAGGTATGATTGTATATGATGATAATATATATATTGGAATCTGCAGCATGCATTATTCACATCAAAGCTAATACCTCTTTTGGTGTGAGATAGCAGATTCTTCAATGGCTTTTTAAAGGGGCACATGAACAAGAAAGAAAGAGCAACAACAACTTCAGTATCCCTCCCAAAAGGGAAGATACTAGTGGTAAGATGAACTCTTCAGAGTTTACAAGTTATTACAATTACTAGACTACTAGTACTACTTTATTTCCCAAATCATACTTGTTTCTCATTGGTTTTATTCTTGAAATGAAATAAACTTCTTTATCTGATTTTGGTATGATGAATGAAGAATTTTGATGCAAATATATCTTCTTCATTTTCAGAACAAAATGCTAAAGGGAAAGAGGTAAATCTACTAAAGCGTGAGAGATCACAAAAAAGAGCAAGGGGAAACAAATGGGGCACGCCTGGTTGCAAGAACTTTAAGATATTCGCTTTTCTATATAGAAAAGACATTCCAAAAGCTTTCTTTTACAGCACTCTCAACATAAAGAGGTTAAGAAGTTTTAATAGAAGACAATTTTTGTACTTCATGAAGATGAAGAAAGAAGAACCATCCCGAGATGTTGGGAGTACTAACAAGGCAGATTCAGCTGGCCATGTTGGAAACAAGGTTTTGCCCATAAGTGAGGCACCATTGTCATCCTCAGCTGAAAGTAACGACCAATGTGGTGATTCCACAGACACTAAAGATCAAACTAAGGGGGATAAGAAAAAGCCAATGTCAAGAATGAAAGAGCTACTTAGATGGGCTGCTTCTGCCAAATCAGAGAAAGGAGGGAAATTCAATGGAAGAAAGGTAAACTAATTTTTAATCTCTACAATGACCCTTCTTTTTAATTTCAACCATGTGGGTATGATACATGGCATAGATGACCATGTGTTGTTGTGAGATGATTTATTTATGATATTGTCATGTGTCACACACTATAATGTAACCAAATTAATTGCCATAATGATCAAACAGTTACCATATATTGAGAAATCTGCAAGACTTTGGCTAACATGCTTGATATTCTTTTCAGTTTTCCATTTTAAAAACTATTTACTAAAAAAATTCCACTCTATTTAGCCATTAATTTCATTCTATTTCTAAAATATGTGCTTTAAGAAACAAAAAAAAAAAACAAATTCGAAGATGGTCTCATATTTTTCTTTTGTTTTCAATAGCAAATGATGTACCTTCACCTTTTTACCAACTGTTTTAGTAAGCATTTTGAAAACTATGAATACTTTTAGAAAATGGAAATCAAAGCACACTCTTAATCGTTATTTCTTAGTTGATTTGATCTTCAAAATGTTTTCAGGTTTTAATGTTCAGAAGGCGTGGAAACCTGAAAGCAGTTCCAGATGATGATCAAGGATGCAGTGAGTCACCTAAGATCAGCTTCAGATGGGATGTAGAAAGTTGCTCCACCACTTCCTCTGTCTACTCAGCTATCTCAATAGCTTCCTCATCAAAAATTGGACAAAACCATATTGCAACTTCCACTGTATCCATCCCTCCTGAACACACTGGCCTCAATAGCACTACTAGAAGAGGAAACTGGATCACAACAGACTCCGAATGTATGCCACATCCTTATACATATCTTGTTTTCTTCATGTTTATTCTAACATCATAAGCTGTGTCTTTATCTTCATTCACCATTTTGACTAATATTTCTTCACCATCATTTTTGTTTAATGAGCAGTTGTGGTGCTGGAACTGTGAAAAGATGAGGAGATTGCATTGTGTGGTGAAGTGTAAGGTGGCAATCTACATCACAAGTTAATGCTCTAAAATGTGTCATGTTCATGGATGATTTCTGTGAGATATTTCTAGAGATTTTTATGTAACGTAACTAAAGATATAGAGGATCAAGAGGCATGGAAAAGAGATGTAATATCAGTAATCAATGATCTGAATGTGCTAGATGGTGATCAAACAGATCAAATCCCATGTGCATGACATGAGAATGTTTGGCATCTACATTATTAGGAGTATAAATTAATTACTTGTTGACTGAACTAATTAATGTAGATGGTTTTCCCAATCAGTGGGACCACTTATTCCTGTAAATCTCTTATAATCAACATTGACGATGATTATCAGCAGCGAAAGTTTAATGTCATGTTTATGCTATTAGTATACAAGTCATGTGTAACTACCATTAATATTTGTTTAATAATTCATATAACAAACATCAATATTGTGAAACACATGAACTTAAGTTGGTTTTGGAATTGTTTAGACATTTGGGATTGGAACCAAACCTATTTCAAGCAATTAGGCTAGGTATTTTTAAAACCATTGTGTCGATAATATTTATAGTGTTAATTAGATTTATATTATGAAGTAGAAAATTGTGGAAATGAAATAGCTTTTTAGAAACGGTTTGAAGCTTTGTTTATAAGTGATGATGAAGCCTATAAATAGCCAAGTCTTATACTCGTGTGTGTGGATACGTTTGGCCCAATGAATCACCTACCAAAAAGTTAGATTAGTGATATTTTAAAATAGGTTATACTTTTAAATTTGGTGCAATCTTATATTTGACCAATAGGTACGTAAATTTAATTTAAAAAATAATTAGTTTTAAATAAAATAACTTAATATATATATATATATATATATATATATTTATAATTTAAATTATATTAATAAAATTAATTTTAATTTATATATAATTATTTTATTTATAAATTATAATATATGTATATGTGCATATTTTAATAAAATAATATTATTTTTATTATTTAAAAATATAATTATCATTTTTTAAAACAAATCTATCTAAAAATTTACATATCAATCCAAATTAGATTATGAGTTAAACTGGTTCAATACAAAATAGTTTAATTACATTAAAATCACTATTTATTTATTTTCAAAATTTTCATACTAATCCATTTTTTACAGCTTTAAACTTCCTCCACCAATTCTATTAATGCCGTACACACGAAAATAATTTTAATTCTAGTCGTGTTATTCTCCTCAAAGGTGTATTTGTATTTCACTAAAATTCAACAATAAGTATAACTTTATCTTTTAGTTGCTATGCTTAAAAATTATATCTTTTAATTTTTATGCATATTATTTTTTATCTCTTTTATTACTTAAAATTTATAAATTAAGAACTAAAGAGATTAAAAGAAATTAAAACGAAAAGTGTAGGAATTAAAATAAGTTATATTAAATATATAAACTAAAAGTAAAAGTTTGTTGAATTATAAAAACAAATGAATAACCTTTTCTATAAAATCAAAAATAGTGTTTATATTTTTGTTAACTCACGCTAAAGCCATCATCACCCAAAATTAAGGTCATCCATATCAACATTAAATGTGGGCCTTTAGCCATTGTTTTGTTGGAAAAACTTTGAAGAAGAAGAAAAAAAAAGATAAATATGTAAATTTAATAAATGTCTATTTTGCATTTTCTTTTTCAAATCAAATACCTTTATTTACCATTTTTACTTAATTTGTGTTTGGAATGAGGATTGAATTTCAGTGAGTGTAAAAGAAAAAATAAAAAATAAAATTGTTTGAACTAAAAGAAAAAGAGTAAAAAATAAAAAAATAAATAAAAAAATTATAATTCATTTGAAAATAATAAAAAAATTAATAAGTTAGTAAAATATCCTCATTTTAAATCTAATAAAAATAAATAAAAATAAAATATGAAAAATAATTAAATTTAAAGTAATTAATTTTTAAAGTTTGTAAAATTATTTTTAAATAATTAATTACAAATCATGTACAATTTTATTTCACCTACTAATTTAAAAAAACAAATATAATAAAAAAATTGTAATAAAAATAATACCATAAAAGATACATTATTAAAAAAAATCAAAATTTATTAATAATTTACACTACAATATCAGTATATTTAATTAAATTAAATTTTTATGTAAATATAATTTTAATTTTATTATAAAATAAAGAATAAAACTACTTATAATTACAATTATATATAAAAATATATATATATATATATATATATTAACATTAATTCACATATAATAAATATAATGATATTTTTTTAATATAATCGATTGTCTATAATAATATAATCGTTCCTATCTCATTTAAAATTTCATGATCAAGTTTATTTACAAAGTTATATTTAAAAAAAAAAAGTCAACGTAAATAACTAAAAATAGTATATAATAATAAAAAAATAAGGGTTATGCATTGTAGAAAAAAAAACTAAATACAAATTGATATGTAATGGACATACATAATTGTTACTTGAATATAAAAAAATATAAAATTATAAAATATAGCTAAAAAAAACAGAAAATGAAATAATACATGTTCAAAATATTATATGGCTTTTCATGTCTTTCTTTTTTACAACAAGAAAAATATAAAATAATTTAATCTATTAACTTTTTCTTTAAGTCAGTATAAATCTCTTGATACAAATACAAATTTTATTTCAAATTTGGAACTTGAATTCCTCTTAAACAGTGGAATCATGAATCCAACACAAAAGTTTAGTTTCATCCTATTTCATTTTAATCAAATAATTAATTTTTCCCTCAATCCTTTTTTTTCTTTTCTTTTTCATTTTTTTCTTCCAACGTTTATATTCTCTCAAAGATTCAAGACAGAAAAGCCAAGACCAAGAAGTTGTTTGAAATTATATTTTAAATTATATTATGGAGGATACTTATTCACATTCAATTATAAGAATAGGGGAAGAGAAATTTATGACATATTGGGCAAAATTATTTATAAACACTTTAAAATAAGAAGAAGAAGAAAATAATAATAATAATATTTTTTTCATAAATTAAAGTTAACTAATATATAAATTAAAAAAATTAAATTAGAAATTTTATATAAATTAGCTTATACATAATTAATTTTAACATGTGAAAATAATTATGTTTTTTTCCTATAAATATTCATAAAAAAAAACATATGAATATACTCTTATTTTCAAGTGACAATTAACATTAATGAAATTAAATCATAAAATTGATTTTTTTAATAATAATTATAAGTTTAATAAAATATCTAATAATATATAAAATTCTGATAAAATATTTTTATCTGTCACAATTATTATATAAAACTAAACAAAAATATTTTAATAATATTAAAAGTAAATATTTATCATAATTACTATATATAAAATAAATATTCCTATTTTCAATACGAATGCAATGGCACGAAAATCTAGAAGTGCGTTGTAAGAAGTAAAAGAAAATGTTTAAAAATATGATCTTTTCTCAAATTATAAAATAAATTAATTTTCACCATATTATTTAGCACATCCCCTAAAATCATCCAAACACACCACACGCTAATATTTTGTTGACTTTCTTTCTTCATTACATTGAAATAATTTTCAGAATCTCAAATTCCAACTAGTAATTAGATTGAAATAATTTCATATTGACTCAATCACATTTTATACAAGATAAAAAAAAATAGAAAGAGGAACTCCATTAAAATTAATCAGTTGTATCATTTAATCAAAAATTAGTTATCAACTTTTATTAATAGGTTTTTTACAAATGTCATGGTGATAAAAAAAAAAAATTATACTCGTTTCATGATAATGTACAATTACATTAAATAGTTGAAAGTGAAATTTTCATCAAAAGTAATTAGTAATTATTGTATATGATTTGAATTAAATGATTTAAATAAATATTAAAATAAACATTGAAATCAAATTATTTATTATTAATAATTTTGTTTTTTATATTTAATATTATTTATAAATTTGTAATAATAATTTTAATTACAAATAATATAAATTACAAGTAATTGGTTATATAAATTTTCTACAAAATTTTTCTTGTTTAAAGGTGGAATTTTTTTATTTTGTTTAAATCCATGTTTTTATTGATCTTACTTTTTTCCTCACCTTCTTTTGCCTTCTCCTTTTTTTCTTTTAAGTTCCTTTGGAAACAAATATAACGTTAATAAAAATTTGAAGTTAAGAGCTATTAATTGTCACTTAAAAATAAAATTATAATTAGAGATATTACGCTAATAAATATATATAGTTAAAAAGAAGATTAGTTAAGTTTCAAATTAATTTATCAATTACCTTTTAATTTCTTTAAAAAGAGTTAGAAATGAGAAAAAAAACGTATTAAAACTAGAAAAATAAATTAATTGTAATTTTAGTTTCAACAATTTATAACATTTTAAAATTTAGTCCGGGGCGTTTTGTTCTTAATTTTTAATTATCTATAGTTTTTGTGTTTAATTTTTTTCCCACAGTTTTAATCTCTTAATTTTTAATTATTTGTCATTTTATTTAATTTTAGTTCTCTTGGTTTTTAATTATATGTAACTTTATTCAATCTTTATTTTAATTATACGTAACTTTTTACTATTTTCAATATGATACAGTGAAATTGGGATAGAGCCCATTATAATCGTAATCTTTTACAGGATTGAAAAAGTATAAACTTGTTAAAATTAAATAAATTTACGAATAATTAAAAATTAATCAATTAACATTGAATTAAAAAACTAATGATCAAAATTACAAATAATTAAAAATTAGGGACTAAATAATGAGTGAAGGGGAGCTCTGTCTCTCAAGTTTTTTTTTTTAATTAATCTTTACACACACACACACACACATATATATATATATATATATATATATATATATATATATATATATATATATTTTAAAAAATAATTAACAATAGGATAACATACTATTATTAACTCTCTTTTTTAATTTTAGAATATTGTTATCATTTCTTTCATAATTTAACAATTTATATATTTATATACTAATTGTCTGGTATCATGAATGTGTGTATATATATATTTATTACATAGATTATCTACACGTGCTCTCTAACAACATATCATAATTTTGATGTATACTTCTTTATTATGCATGATCATATGTTTATATCAAATGTTTTGTTTGTATATTCAACGCAAATACATTTATTATGTATATGCTGAATAAGAGAAAAG